TGAGCTACTGCTCCAGTGCCTGCCTGCCTGCCTGCCACCGTGCTCCCCACCATGATAATGGACTAAATGAAACTGTAAGCAAGCCCCAACTGAATGCTCTATAGACGTTGAGTTGGTCATGGTGTCTCTTCACAGCAATAAACAGTGACTATGAGAATCTCTTTTCATTAACTACTCATATGTAATTTGTCTTGTTGTTGTCCATTTGCCCTTTCTTCTGCCATGTAAAATCCATTCTCTCTAATACCCCAAATGGAATCATCTATGAGTTACCACAATGCAAAGATGCCTTGTACCTGTGTAGGCACTGGCATGGGCTAATTCCTGTTTAGCTGTATCCTAGTTCCCCATGATAACCCAGAAAAAGTAACTAAGTCTTCTTGGTGTTGCTCAGATACAAGTTGGATAAATTGAGCTGATGGTTTAGCTATTTAACCTCTGACAGTCAAAAGAGCCGAGGGGGCTGGAGAGATGGCTCAGACGTAAAGAGCATTGGCTGCTCTTCCAGAGGTCCTGAGTTCAATTCCCAGCAACCACATGGTGGCTCACAACCATCTGTAATGAGATCTGGTGCCCTCTTCTGGTGTGCAGGGATATATGCAGACAGAACATTGTATATATAATAAGTAAATAAATCTTAAAAAAACAAAAACAAAAGAGCCGAGGATTTAATCAGTATATGAGTACATGGACCATTGGTTCTCCTAAACTAGCCCAGAAAACTTGAATGCTTTGAGAGGCACAGATTCCTAGTATCCTCAGTGGAGGCCTTTCCTCGCTCAAGTCTTGATTTAGAGTCCAGGAACCTGCTCCCTTTAGAAGGACTATCAGAGTTATTGGTAGTCTTAGGGTTGTTATTGTTCTCATAAAACACCATGACCAAAAGCAACTTGGAGAGGAAAGGGTTTATTTCAGTTTAGTACTCTCAGGTCACACTCCATTGTTGAGGAAGGTAGGGCATGATTGCCAGGGAGGGACCTGGAGCTAGAAACAGAAGCTGAGGTCATGGGGGAACACCACTTATTGGGCTGCTCAGCCTGCTCTCTTATACAACACTATGCCCATGGGTAGCACCACCCGCTAATGGATACTGCATCAATTATTAATCAAAAAAATTCCCCCAGGCAATCTGATGGAGGTAGTTCCTCATTTGAGGTTCCCTCTTCCCAAATGGCTCTAGCTAGTCTCAAGTTGACAAAATATTGTCCAGCACACTCATATATACATGTCAAGTGTTAGACAATGAGTGCCAGCCTGCAATATTTAATAATTGTGCTTTTAACCACTGTCATAGTTCTGGAGAGAGTTCAGTATTGTCTTTCAGAATATATTTTAAGACTTTAAGAAATTGTGTGTGTGTGTGTGTGTGAGAGAGAGAGAGAGAGAGAGAGAGAGAGAGAGAGAGAAAGAGAGAAAGAGAGAAAGAGAGAAAGAGAGACAGAGACAGAGAGACCAACAGAGAGACAGGGACAGAGATGTATGCATGTGGGTGCCTGTGGAGGTCATAAAAGGGGATGAGATTCCTTGGAGCTGGAGTTATAGGTGTTTGTGAGCCACCCAATATAGGTACTGGGAATAAAACTTGAGTCCTCTGTAAGAGCATCAAGTTCTCTTAAGCACTGACACCTTTCTCTAGCCTTGTGTTATCTTAAGTGGGATGTGTATCTGGGCACTCTAAGATAAGGCATCCTTTAGGGATTTGGTTTGCTACTCTGTAGACCTTTCCTAGGACTATTTGATCTTACCTGAGTGTCAAACTCATTAATACATTAAAGGAATCAGATTGTCAAATCGCCCTGTCAACTTCCTAATATGGTTTGATTTGAAAGACTTTGTCCTCCTAGATTTGCATTGTCATTGTCACTGTGGCTGTTGCTTCTTCTAATTTACTGCATGCCTTTGAGCTCAACAGGGCATTGATCTATGTCTACTTCTTAGGAGTTGGGGAGCTGTTCCCAATCTAAGAATGTCTCTTGTTACCATCCTCCCAACACAAGAGTTAGGCAAAGCATTCTCCTGAGAATAAAATTCTGATGTTAGGGAATCTGATATGGAATATGTAGGTTATAATTCCCTTTCCATGGCAACACAGGGTATTTTCATCAACCATGCAAGTGACACTTGTTCCTTTGGGAAGATATGCTGATGACACAGTTGGGGGAGCAACAGCCTCACTGCCTGTGTTTAACAACTTTTGTTTCCAGGACCTTGACCTCCATTTGGAGCCATCTGGACAGACCGTGATGTACATAGATCTCTGGTCCTCAGCCTTTCTGAGGCATCAAAAGGAACCACTGTGCCTTTAATGACATTTTTTCTCTTTCATTATTCTTGTATCTTTATGTGCCGTGTCAGTATGCTCATGTGTGTGCAATAACCACAAAGGCCAGAAGAGAGCATCGGGTCTCATGGAACCAGACTCACACATGGTCATGAGCTTGCATGTGGTTGCTGGGAATGGAAGCAGCAAGGGTTCTTAACCACTGAGCCACTGCCCCAGCCTCCATGTGCTTCTAAATGATGCTTGCCAGTGTCACCTCCATCCTAGTGGGACTGTTGAATAGACTCTCCAGGGACAAGTATTTTTCAACATAATTTACTACAGATTATTCCCAATTGGAGACTCCTCTCTTTCCTCCAATGTGGCCTCAATGTTCCTCTGTCTACAGCAACTTTTTTAAGGCATTGTTGTTATACCCTGTCTGTTGTGCACCACAGAGAAGGAGAGAGGTGACATTTATAGATTCCAAAATTTTTAATGAATCACCACATAAGCAAGTCACTGACTGATCAGGGCTGCAGGACAAGAGCTCAGGGGCCTTGTTTCTCCTGTCAGCCCCAAGCAGGGGCAGAAGTAAGGTTTTTTAACACAAAAATCACCAACATTTGTTGCTAAGTTACACAACTTTCACCTGTCAGGAATAAACGATTAGGGACTTTCCTTCTGTCTTATCACTGTTGTCTGACATACAATGCAAGCCTTTTAGTCCAGTCAACCAGATTTATTTGTTCTTTCTGTTGTTAGGAACAGCCATCATGTTTCTAGAGAACTAAAGATGCATAACAACAATTTCTGTGGTTTAGAGAGGAGGTTGGGCAGCCATTGGAAAGTTCTCAGCTTCCCTAGAGCTTGGGAACCTGAACTTTATTTCACCCTACAGGTAAAATGGAGTCTGAAGTCAATATGGCAGTACTTAGGCCAAGGTGCTTTTGCCTACTCTCTTCAGTGTCTTAGTTAGGGATTCTATTGCTGTGAAGAGACACCATGGCCATGTCAACTCTTACAAAGGAAAGGGTTTAATTGAGGTAGTGGCTTACAGTTCAAAGATTCAGTCCATTATCATCATGGTGGGGCATGGCAGCGCGCAGGCAGACATGGTGCTGGAGAGATGGCTGTCTACCATGGTACATGGTAGCTGAGGGTTCTGCTGGCAATAGGAAGTGGTCTCAGACATTGGGTGGTGTCTTGAGCATATATGAGACCTCAGCCCATCTCCACAGTGACACACTTCCTCCAACAAAGCCATACCTACTCCAACAAGGCCACACCTCCTAATACTACAACTCCCTTTGGGGCCATTTTCTTTCAAGCCACCATAGACAATTACAAGTAAATGGTGAGTAGTGATCAGAATCCTGGCAACTCTGGTCTAAAGCTTTGTGAACATTAGTCATGTTAAGATTTGGCAGTCTTGGTAGGATGAAGGCTAGTCATCTGCACTTCCCAGCATCACTGCAGGCCCTGGAGTCTTCAGTAAAGACTCTTGTCTGCTGCCACCTGCTGGGTCTCTCCATGTAAAATGTGATGGCAAATAGAAGTGTTGTCATCCTTTGTGAAGGGTATTTTGATACAATTGGCTTTATTATCTTCTATTCAGTACAATTAAAATAGAGACCTTATGTTAAGTATCATTCTAGATGCTGAAGATGTAAGAGAAGTAAAACATAGCATTCATATCTTTGTTGCACTTTCTCATTCTCAATTGTATATATGTCCATATAGGATTTGGCATGACTGAATTAAATGGCTGCATTATTACATTTTATGAAATGCCACTTAGGAGGATTCTTGAAGACTGGGATCACAAATGAAATCTGAGTATGCTGTCTTTAACACATGTAGCCTGATTTAGCATGCATGTAGTTCAAGTGACCACTCTCAGAAGGCAGAATTAACTAACTAGTGGGTGTAGGGTTTGGTTCCAACAAAACCACCCAAGGGCAAGGTCAGAATGAAGATTCATACTGGATTTTGTGAGTGTGTCTTCAGAGAACTATAATTTGGATATAAATGTTTGACTGTTCCTTTTTTCTTTTTATTTCTTTTGTTTTACTACATGTCTGTAACTTTCATGTAGATATACCACACCACACCCTGGGATCCTGGAGTTTGGAGTTCTTTGCCTAATTCTTTCACATATTCATTAGAAACAATACTTTGAGATAAAATGTGTGTGATTCAGGCTGGTGGGCACACCATCATAAGTCACTGCAACTTTCTATATACACCTTCAGTGGATGAATTAGAACCGTTCCCAGAGTGTCCCTTTTGTACCATAATCACTGTGTTGTAATTATGGGATGTTGTACTGTGCTCAACTTATTTGAGGCAGGCATAAGATTATGGCCAGTCTTCCTTGCAAGGAGTTTAAATGCCAGCTTATGTAGGTCCTTCAGTATCTGTCTGAAGTATAATGTAATACAGGACATCTAGAGCCAGTTGGCTATGAACTGTATTGTGGATATATGCTGAAACCTTTGGGGTGCTGAAGGAAGAACACATTTGATAGCATCAAAACCATAGGAACCTAGGACCTGCGTCTGGTCTGCTTCATATCTCCATTTGGTGGCTAATTAGCTTTGAAGAAAAGTTAAGGATTATATAAAGGGAGATAGGAAAAAATATTCTGAAGATAATTGTTAGTACTAAAATTTCTGTAGCTAGTTTTGGAATACATATGTTAGTTACGTCATATGCATGATAGCAATGTGTGTTCTAGGTCTGCGGAGAAAAGCAGCGTTTTGAGAAGTTGATGGAACATTTCAGAAATGAAGATAATAACATAGATTTTATGGTGAGTTATCTTGCTACTGCATTCAACAATGCAAACTCAATTTCAGTACCACCCCCCAAAAAGAGAAACACTCAAATCGACACACACTCAAATCGACACACTACGAAGAACAGGAAAATGAGTTCAGTAGTCTCTTACAGGATGTTGTCCCTCATCTGTATGTTCCCTTTTTGGATTTGCTTTCAGAAGCAGCAAGGAAAGATGGAAGAGTCTAATCTATTTCTCTCCAGAAAATGAGGCCTCTGATAAACTTCCTTGGCAATTCCATTGAATGTCCCAGCTTCCCAAACAATCTAGTCCCCATATTAAATGGTATAAGTCCCTTTAATGTAGTATGAGACTTTTTTTCCCTGTGGATTTTTTTTAAATAACTGGAAAAAAATCAGAACTGACAAGATTTATTTTAACTTTATTTAACTGGAGAACCTAAACTTTTTTTTTCACAATATCCAAGAGGGTCCCTTTTCCACTAAGAGAATTCATGTGTCTCTGAAGCTGTCCAGTATATAATTGTTCTAGTTCCATGTGTTGCTATGATGAAAGCAATAGAGAGGGAAGTGGTTTATCTCACTTGCAATTGCAGGTTCCAAGCTATCATCATAGAAAATTCCCCACAGCAGAATCATGAGCTGGCCATCACATCACAGCAGTAGCTGGGCAGGGATGAATGCCTGCTTTCTTATTTGCTTGCTCGTTTTCAGATTTATTTGTCTGCTCATGTACAATTCCAGACCACTGTCTAGGGAATGGTACCACCTAGTGTAGGCTGTATCTTTTCATATCAGTTAATCAACCCCCCCAACCCCCTAGACATGCCCAAAGGCTGAACTAATGTATGTAGACCTTCATCAAGACCTTCTTCCTGGGCTAGAGAGATGGCTCAGAGTTTAAGAGCACTGACTGCCCTTCCAGAGGTTTTGAGTTCAATTCCCAGCAACCACATGGTGGCTCACAACCTTCTATAATGAGATCTGGTGCCCTCTTCTGATGTGCAGGAAGAACAGTTTATACATAATAAATAAATCTTTAAAAAATTGATTCCCAGGTTAACCTAGAATGTATGAAGTTGAAAATTACCATTAATTATCTCAGTAACATATATTTAAAAAGAATTGGTTCAATAAAAATAACGAAAATAAAAGATAAAATAAATGGAGAGAGGGAGGGCTGGCAATACAGCTCAGAGGTCAAGGACTTGCCTGATGTGTCTGGGACTGAGTTTGATTTCCAGTTCCTGGGAGTGAGGAGTGGGGGGACAGCAAGTGGTTTTCCAAATGGCTTGTGAATCTGGTCCTTCATTGTTTTCCCTTCTTCCCAAAGCCTCTGCTGGGTTATGCCATAGAGGCAAACATGAGTAAGGCATTGTTCCCATCAATAGATTGGCATTGTTGGAAACAGCATGGGTCCTTATTTATTAAACTGAGGACTGATTTCTGAGACAGGTCTTAAGGCCAGTCTTTGCAAGGAAGCCCTGCAGCCAAAGCGCTTATGGTCTCCTGTTGGGCAACTTCATGGAAAGATGTGTGCAGGATTAGTTACTAACTTTTGGTAGGATAGAGCTCAAACTGAATTTTCTGAAGTAATTACCTTGTGGTGAGCAAGGTTCAACATGGTTTGAATGTTACTCTTTGTATTAATTTTCACATTTTGTATGATCTATGTTTCTGAAGTAATTTGTACTTTGCTCCATATACCTATCTAACTCTTTAAGAACAGCTTTCTTGAAATTAGATTAACATAGCATCTACTTCACCCATGGAGAGTTTATGATTTGGAGTGTATAACCATTCACAGTCCAATTATAACCACATTCATCCCTTATGTATTCCTATGCCATTAAAATTGTTTCCCATGTGCTTTAGTTTGGGATGCTCTGCACATTTGATATGGATGAAATCATGCAATGGTGGTCCTTTTTCATTGGCATTTTTTTCATTTACCATGACATTCCCAAGTTCATCCATGTCATAACATGTATCAGTACTTCATTGTACTTGATTGTCATAGACTATTCCATCATATGATTATCCTTCGTTTTATTTATTCATCAAGTGATGGACATTGGGTGGTTTCCCACAGTCAGTTGGTATATATGATATTGGGATATTTATGCACTTTTTCATGGGAGCGAGTTTCTTGATTTCTCTTAGTTATGCAATTGAGTCCTTAAGCCATTATGACAAACATGGTGCTCAACATGTTGAGTAACTCATGTCTTCAAATGGCTGTATCATTTTACATTCTCACTAGCAGTGGGTGGTTTTTCCCCTATGTCTTTGCCAATATCATATACATTTTAGAAATTACAGCCATTCTTAGTGACTGTGAAGTAGTGTTTTATTGTGGCACCTCTTCGATTCCTTTAATTAAAAATTACAAGATTTTTTTGGAGGTTTAGTGACATTAAAGAAAAAGGAATTAGTGTAAACTGAAACTTGTGAAATGAAGTATGTGTTCTGGATGTGCTTAAATTGGGAGAAAGTACTTGAAACCAATTTAACCCTTTGGAAATTTCATTTCAGGTGGCTTCTATGCAGTTTATTAATATTGTAGTCCATTCAGTAGAAGATATGAACTTCAGAGTTCACCTCCAATATGAATTTACCAAGTTGAGCCTGGATGAATACCTGGACGTGAGTATCACGATCTTTTTTGGTGTCGTTTTTAAGAATGGATTTATCGCCTGTTCTCTGAGGTTCACTTCATAGTAACTCCAGAATGTCTGAAGCACTGTGAGGTTAACAATTGCCATGCTAGTTAAAGGGAACCGATTTGAACGATGCAGTTTGCCAGCAAAGCTGGATTCAGTACAGAATTCCTGGGACATTTGTGGATCCCCCCTGCCTGCAGCCCTTTTAGTGCTGGAGTCAGACATCCTCTGGGAGCATTGTTGCGACTTTGCTTTGCTTCTCAGGCTCTGTCTGTATCAAGTCTCATTGCATCCTTCATCAAAACTGGAGAAAAATTTTATTTGGGGATCACTCTGGAGACCCGATCTGAGCAGGCGAGATCAAGCCAAGAATGTTGTAGCATGCGTGAATGCTTAGAGCATAAAAATGTAGCGAGGAAATGAACACTGCAGACTTCTTCCTGGAGCTGTTAATTCTGCAAAAAGTGTTTGCTGCTCTAGAATACTTGCTTTCACTTCTTGGGATAAAGGAGTTTAGTTTCTTTTTCTTGCTGCCTCACAGAAGCGCCAGGCCAGTTCCCTGAAGTTCAATAAAAGAACAGAAAGTATAAGTGGTAGTCATAGATGTACCCCAGGGCCTTTCTGTCCACTAGATGTGCGCCCCTCCTTGTCACAAAGCTTTTATTTTCCCATTCCATGCCAATGTACTCTCTTTAAAACAAGTTAAACTGCAGGGTTTCAATTTAAACCAAGAGAAAACTCATTTTTCTTTAGAAATTATATCATCTGAAATTTCTCTTAAAAATACCAACCCCCTAATCTTATACTGACTTAATTGTGTTATGTTTGTTGCTGGACTCTGATGGATAGGGATCATTAGAAGGACGATATTCTATGCATCTAATATATAACTATTTTATTTGTTTTCAAAGGCAGTCTTCTTGACAAGTGGTCATTGATATGCTTGTTAACTTGCTGTCATCATCTATGTGCTGGATATTATTCTGGTCCCATATTTCCCCCAGATGTGTGGTTCTAATGGGTGGATTCTCCGATTTCTTCAGCCTCTAATGTCACCTGAGAAATAGCTAGCTGGGTTGCTTTAGGACCCTTGGTCTGGGACATAGTGAACTGGAAGATACTTTCTGATTCCTGCTTTTGGGATCAGCTGTTCCTAAGGCACCACCTTAGGAAATGAATCCTGTGTGGGGACTTTTAGCACTGTGGACTATAATAACCCAAAGTCAGATACGAATACAACTGGTAGCTCCTAGCTACACTCTGTCCCCAGACACCAATCACAGCCCTGGTAAGATGTCCCCTACTGCAGTCTTCTTCATAATGCCCCTTATTTTTCACATGGCTTTTAGCTATTCCATTTCAAGTCCTTCTTTAATGCTTCTGTGGTCTTGATTTTACTTATGTGTAAGTGTTTTAGGCTAGAGTAGGAAGGACGTGAGGGACGTATATATGTATATATGTAGCATGAATGCATGTGTATCTGGGAAATGGTCTAGCTATACCTTCTTCACAGGGATGTGCTGCAATTCTCTTCAGGATGATGTGTTAAACTCTGGTGGGGAAAAGCAGGCTACTTGCAACAGAATGAGTAGAGGGTTGGGTAATTGCATAGTGCGTCTACAGATAAATGAGTACCACCTTCTCTGGCATTTTGATTTTAGAAGCTGAAACACACAGAGAGTGACAAGCTGCAGGTACAAATACAGGCTTACCTAGACAACGTGTTTGACGTGGGGGCCCTGCTGGAAGATGCGGAAACCAAGAATGCAGCCTTGGAGCGGGTGGAAGAACTGGAAGAAAACATCTCTCATGTGAGTGCCTCTCAGAGAGGAAAGGGCCCTGGCGTCCAGGACGCATGAGCTGAGGCTACCTTTTGTGGTAGGAAGTGGAAGGGTTTGGAGGGTAGGGATAAGCAGCTTCTGGGCCAGAGAGCCCTCAGATTCCCTCTGGGTCTTTAAAGAAGGAAGGTATGTCTCCTACAGGAGAAACCCTTGCTTCCTTTCCACTTAAATGCTGTTCCATTTCTCCCAAGTCACGTGCACTAGCAATCCCAGTTGGGAACACAGATGAGTAGGATGGCTGACAGCGTAAGGGTTAGAGAGGGATGTGAAAAGAGGGCAACTGGCCTGATGAAGGAGTCTCAAGGTAACCCACTTTCTCAAAGTGGCATCAAAGCCCAGGACATAGGACTGTCTTGTGTCGCAGATGCAAGTCTCCATATTCCTTCCTCAACAGCGCCTCAGATGCTAGTCAGGTTCGTTTCAGCTGTAGAGATTTTACAGGAAATCACTGGCTTGGTCATCTGTGGTCTCCTCTGAAGAGGCAGGTCCCTCTGGTATAATGCCAACTGTACCGCCAGACAGGGTCCTGATTTTGTTTAAGGGAAATTTACTAACCCCAAATAAGTTAATGTGAACCAATATTTAATATTGAGGACTAAATTATTTCTCAAAAACCCAAGCATTGTGAGGTCTAAATTCTTGTTCTCCCTGCTCAATGGTGCATCTTGGGCCTCATATATGAGAGGAAGTACTATAACACTGACCTCTTGAAAACAAAATTCTTGTCATGATTTGATTGGAATTTTCCTTTTTTTTAAAAAATATTTTTAAAAAGTTATTTATTTATTATGTACACATACAGGGCTCTGCCTGCATGTATGCAGGCAGGCCAGAGGGGGCAACAGACCTCACTACAGATGGTTGTGAGCCACTTTGTGGTTGCTGGGAGACTTGAACTCAGGACCCCTGAAAGGGCAGCCAGTACTCTTAATCGCTGAGCTGTCTCTCCATTCCCCGGAATTTTTCTTTATTATGAAGTGAATTGTTTCTCTTTGTAAGAATATTATTTTTCACTGGGTGATGGTAGTGCACTCCTTTAGTCCTGGAATTTGGGAGGCAAAAGAAGGTGGATCTCTGTGAGTTCTAGGCCAGCATGGTCTACAGAGCGAGTTCCAGGACAGATGAGGCTACACAGAGAAACCCTGTCCTGAAAAAACAAAAGAGGAAAAATGAAAAATGTAGAATTTTTCTCTCTGAAGAATGCTTTTGTGTCCCAGCACTTTAAAGTATTACATGTGTTTATTTTATCCTTTACCATCACTGTGAAGCCGGTCTCCCCAGGGCTTATAGTTGAAGTAAGGTTCCCCACTTTTATAACTGCATTGACATATGTTTGGCATCTGCCTAGTAAGAGAACTTACAGGTCCAATTATTTCCTTTAAAAGATTTGTTTTCTTTCCTTTTCTTTTCCCTTCTTTCTCTTTCTTTGTAATTACATGCTTAACTTGTAAATGTCTATCCACTCTTCTGCCTTGCCTCCATGGTTGCCGTTGCCTATGATTATGTCCTGTGGGAAATCAGAAGTTGCTTGGTTGTAGAACTTTATGTGACAAGGAACTACTTCCAGCTTCCTTCCTCCACTCCTGCCTCCCCAGCCAGCCTTGCTATATTGACTTTTATATAAGTAACTGCCATTATTTGGGTAAAAGCAAGCCATACTTATTTAGCTGACTAAAATGATATGGCCATGTTTTCTGGATCAACATTTTACAGCAGGTTTGCATGATGATCCCTTTTTTGGGGGGGAGATAGGGAGTAGCCCTCCACTCTTCCCTACTTAATTTTTTTCTGTTCTTGTTAGCCCCAGAACATGGAGGGAGACAGGGCTGTGCATGTTCAAACACGGAGAGGCTGTTGTGTGGGTTATGGAGGCTACATATATATTATTAATTTTGGTTGAAACAAGTCTTCAGAAGCACAATGCAAAAATTAATGTTTCCAGAAAATAACCTGTAGAATATATGCAAGACTCTAGTGGGCCCCTCTTTGTCTGGGATTTATACTTCTGAGGACCCAAGGATCTGGTCAGGATGATGTGTGTTGTGACACTCTTTCCTTGTCACAATTTCACAGCTGTCTGAAAAGCTGCAGGACACAGAGAATGAAGCCATGTCCAAGATCGTAGAACTGGAAAAGCAACTCATGCAGAGGAATAAGGAACTGGATGTTGTCCGGGTAAGTTTGCTGGCAGCAGCTACCCAGATATGGCAGGGAATTCAGTGAGCTCCAGCTTTAGGCTGGTCCAGTGTGGAGCATGTTCATTGCAGAGGTGTGTGCCAATGCAGTGTGTTTATTGCAACCATTTCGAGGGTGGTACTCAAAAGTACACATAAGGTGTGTGTACCCATGTGTGCGAAATCAAAAACTCCAGCCTCAGTATTTCCTTATTACATTCCTTTTGGGAGCAACATTGTCTTCCCATCTTGGGGAGGCTAAGTTGGTTCTGTGGATCCTCCATGTGGTTGTAAATAAAAACAAAGCATGGATTTGATTCGTGCCACTTATTTATTTTTATTAGGGCTTGGAATTCATTGTATTTATTTATTTTGCTTTTACTCAAAACAGATTTTTTGGTTGCTATGGAAACAATTCACCCCACAGGGTAGACCTAAAGGTATTTACCCCAACCCAAAACCCAGTGCATTTTATTATCAGATAATCCTAGCTATTTGATTTTGCCTTGCCATCATTTTACTTTAAGTGTCAGGCACTTAGGGAGTACCATCCATGTGTTTGGAACTGTGTAGAACAGAAAATAGACATGTATTCAGGACTTTTAGGCACATGGCTTGCCTTCACACCATGGTTAATGTGATGGCACATTTTATGTGATGGTTATTGTGGCTGTGTGTGCTGTTTGGTATTCTGACACAGAGAGATTTGCACATTTACTTTCTGGCATACTATCCAGACTAAGTTGTAGCATATGGGTTCCATTCAAGTTCAGACACTTAGATTATTAATGATAGTGTGTGAAGAATGTTTCCATGTCTGCTGGAGGTCTGTGGTGAGAGATAACATGTGCAGGGCCCAGCCAGAAAGGTTAGTTCCACAAAGTCACTCACACTAGAATATCTGTGGACTCTTAATAGACACAGTCAGGACAGCCTTTGAATTGAATTTTAACTTTGTTTTATACTCTAAACTATGAGAATGGTAAGTAATTAGTGGTGGGAAGCTTTGGGTTGTTTTGTTAAATGCATCACCAAAGGAAAAATATTTCAGCAGTGGCTGTCCTGAGCTCAGTCAAGGGCCAGAGAAATCGAGCCATGTCCCTAACTTTTGGTCATTCATGAATAGGTCACCCCAGGCTTTGCAGAGTTTGGTTGCTTGCCTATTTATGATATATCTTCTTGGTACAGGGTCTCACTATGTAGCCCTGGCTGACCTGAAAAATCATTGTGTATGCCAGGCTGGCCTCAAACTCACAGAGATCGGCCTGCCTCTGCCTCCACAGTGCTTGGATTAAAGGCTACGCCACTATATCCAGCCTTTGCAGAGGTTTTAATCCTAGTCTGATTTAGAGCCTCTTGTTAGTTAATGCAGATCAAGGGGTTACAAGTAAATTGTATAGTGAAGGGAAGCATGCCGAACCACCAGGATATGTGTGGGATGTTCCAAATTCAATTTGGGGGATAAAGTCATCTCTGCTCTGCCCTTTTCTGCCTATGGAGAAAATGGAGTTCATTCCCACTTATAAAATGGAAATGAGTTCATTAACAATAGCAAATGCTAGAATACATTGCATGCGTTATTAGTTCAGTTGGTAATTACTGTGATTTGCACATTCTGGCTGAATTTCAGAGATTTTTCCCAAATGTCGGAGTGCATGCTTTCTCTCCACCCATTCTCCTCAGTTGGTGTACCCAGTAGGTATAACTGGAACTGTCCTATGAAGTCAAAAACCTAACCAGGACCTCTTTTGCAGGAAATCTACAAAGATGCAAATACCCAAGTTCACACATTAAGAAAAATGGTCAAAGAAAAGGAAGAAGCCATTCAAAGACAGTCTACCCTGGAAAAAAAGATTCATGAACTGGAGAAACAAGGGACCATTAAAATTCAGAAGAAAGGGGATGGGGACATTGCCATACTGCCAGTTGTGGCCTCTGGCACATTGTCGGTGGGGTCAGAACTTGCAGTGGGTAACTATGTAGGATCAGTTACAGGGGCTACCTCCTCAGGACCCTCACTCCCTCCTCCCCCACCACTACCTCCATCGTCAGACGTGCCCGAAGCAGGTAAGATGTCTTTCGGGGAGGGTAGAGATTTACCTTCTTATGTCCTTTTACATATCTGAATGAGAAACGTTACATTTTGAGGAGCTGGATACATGGCTTAGTCGTTAAGAGTGTGCACTGCTCTTCTAGACAGCCGAGTTTACCTCAGCATCCATGCAGAGTGGCTTACCTCTACCTCCCAACTCCTGAGGATCTGTTGTTGCCTCTGCCCTCTGCAGGCACTGAACTTGTGTGTACGTATTCACACACATAGTGAGGACACAATAAGTTACAATAGACGTTTACATTGAGATTAAGGTTGTGAGTCTTTATGTCACTTACAATATTTCCCCATTCGTCGGTAAGGAAATGTTTATCATTTTAAGTGTTTTTTTTCAAGTACTTTATTATTTTTTTATTTTAACAGCTTATTATTGTTATATATGAGTGAGGTCTACTTGCGGGTGTTTGCCACGGGATGCTTGTAGAGCTCACAGGCCCCCTTTGTAGTTAGTAGTCATCCACTTTTGTGCGGGTTCCCAGGACCTGAGAAGCCGTGTCGCCAGTGCAATTTCTCATGCTTTTTATGTGCACATGACATTTTCTTCTTTTCTCTAGCGCAAAATGGACCAGCATCACCACCTATGTCACCTCCTCCTCCTCCTCCACCACCTCCACCCCCTCCTCCACCGCCCCCGCCCCCGCCCCTCCCCGGTCCTGCAGCTGAGACTGTGCCAGCTCCTCCTCTCCCACCCCCGCCTCCCTCTGCGCCCCCGCTGCCTGGGACTTCTTCACCCACAGTAGTCTTCAACTCAGGACTGGCAGGTGAGAGCACGGGATGGAAACAGAGGTACTTGTGTCAGAGATCCTGATTTCTCTCCCTCTGGAGAGCTAAAACTGCTCTTTCAGCAGCAATTAGATCTTTCTCATCCGTACACACCACATCCGTTACTGGACATTCCTGCTAATATAACCAGTGAAGGGGAGACTGTCAGACCTGAGAGGCACTGGCCTGTGGTCACACTCTTCCTTGAGGGAGTTCCGACCTCATCACCTGACCTTCATTGTTTTTACCTACAGTGGCCAGAGCTCTGAGTTAGGTGCTAATAGAGATGCTCTTTTCTGAGGTATCTGGAGTGTCCTCTGTAAAGGAGAACGTGGCGTTGTGAGTAAATGCCCATAGGGGCTTGCAGGCATGCCTTCTGAACATTTGTAGGCGTCAGTATTTGCTGGAAGTTTTTGTTTGATTGTTTGTTTCGTTTTTTGAGACAGAGTTTCTCTGTAGCTTGGACTCACTGTGTAGAGCAGGCTGACTTCAAATTCACAGAGATCTACCGCCTCTGCCTGCGGAGTGCTGGGATATACTAGAAGTTTTAAGCTTCAAAGGGAGGTGGTGCTGTTAGCAGTTTCTTTATGACTTGAAAAAGCTTCCAAGTAATCCATGTCCCCCTGTACACCAGGACATAAGGGTGGGTGTGCCTGCTGTACCAGAAATAAAGAGACAGAGGTGAGAGAGGAGAAGAGAATTGCCCCAAAGTCCTGAGATAAGTGACTGCTTTGGACCCTTGGAAATGGAATTTTACTCTTTAATATGAAGCTGTTTCAGTTAGAGTGTTGCTGAGTTTGGAGTTGTTCTGAGGTGGTTGTACCTGTGACAGTGGGCAGCACTGTGCTGAGGTTGCCACCCTGGGTAATGGGGCTCTCTCGGCTCTGAGCTGACTGTCCTTTGACACTGAGAACTACTTTGAGGTTGTCTTCCTTTGGTACTGGGTAGCTTTCTCTGTAATAATGAGTGTTTGGAGGTGGCTATCTCTGTGATACTAAGTAATTCCCCTGGGAAGTGGCTGTCCTTGTTGGGTGCCTGCTCTGAGGTTGCCACCTGCTGATTCCAGGCAGCTCTCCTCTTAAGCTGACTATATAACTGTCTTAGTTTGCTTTTGGTTATTGCTGTGATAAATACCATAACTAATGCTACTTGGGGAGGAAAGGGTTTATTTTAGCTTCCAGTTTATCATAGAGCCAAATTGGGGCAGGAACTGATGCAGAGGCTATGGAGAAATGATTCTTATTGGCTTGTTCCTCATGTATTGCTCAGTCTGCTTTCTTATATGAGGTCCTAGGGGTGCCACAGCTTACAGTGGACTGGGCTCTCTTCCATCAACCACTAATCAGCAAAATACCTCACGCCCCCCAGGTCAATCTGATGGAGACACTTTCTCAGTCTTCCAAGATGACTCTTAACTTATGTCAAGTTGACAAAAAATGGACCAATGCACTAACACTGTCTGAAGTTGCCACTTTGGATTACTAGGTAGCTGTGTTTTAAGGAGGCTAGCTGTCTCTATGACACTGGGTAGTGCTGCTCTGAGGTGGCTGTCCCTGGGATACTGGGCACTTTGCTCTGAGGTGGCTGTCCCTGGGATACTGGGTACCTTGCTCTGAGGTGGATGGCTGTCCCTGAGATGCTGGGACCACCTCCACCATTCTTGAACTCTCTCAGTTGCTTTGAGTCATTACCCTGACAGCCTCTAGTTCCAAGGCAGTGATGGTCTCAGAAGTATGCAAATCTAAATGACAGTCTTTAGCATAAAGATTTATTCTTTTCAATCCATCCAAGGGTGTGGCCAGGAGCTTTATCTGCCCCTGTCCACCCCACCCTGATAATTCTTCCAAATGACTGCAACCCTTTTAGCCTTGTATAAGTTCCCTAAAGCAGATTTGCCCGCCCCAGCTCTGATTCTCCTGCCACCCTGACATCTATAAAATTATCAAAGATACAAAGAAGATGCCCCTTCAGTTTCGTGGTAAATTTGTGGCTTATTCTTCCCCTTCAAGGTCTTCCCTGTTAATACTTTCTTCTAGAGCTTTTAGTGCCTCTGAAGAGGAGAGGTGGAGGACAGTCACCGTGGAACTGTTGGATTGTGAATGTAAATGACAACCCTCTTACCGTCTCTGGGTGTCTGTTCTGTTACCAGGCTGTTCTTGGTGACTGAATGTGGATGCCACTGTTGTCCTGTGCACCCGGGCCGCTCGTTAAGCTTTCCTTGTAGCCCTGGATGAGTATTCCCCGGGAGATGTGTCTACCATCCCTCACCCAGAGCTGCTGCTTCCTCCATTGCAAACGCTAACACATGCTTCAGCATCCGCTTGCATCCCCACGAGCTGAAGCAGAGTTCAGATACCGTGGCAGGGAAATGAGCTGTGGGCTGGGGCTGTAAATCCGAGGTAGCTTTCTTCTATAAGGCCGTGTCCCCCCTTCCCCTTTTTGTCTTAAGCCTTTGTCGCGATTTTATTTTTAAACTTTATTGACTCTGGAGTGTCTCGAATTTATGATGTAGAGCTCTGTGCTCAGTTTGTAACTGCTGCTCGAAGGATGCTCCCCAACACCCAGACATCTCCATTGTTCTTATGCCAAGTATAGTTCTATAGGTGGGATTGAAGAAGTCCTTTTTATGTCATAGTGTCTGTTAATGGTTACAGGATAGATCTTGTTTGATAAGATCGCAAAATCCTCCTAAGGGTTTAGTAACTTGGGATTAAGCATTTTCTGCAGGGCCTCCCATCTCCCTAATATTTATCCTTAATTTGGCTTTCAGTGCATAGTAATTGAGGCTAATTTTAAGTACTCTCATTTGTACAATGTTTTTTTTTTTTTTTCTGGAATCCAGAGGCCTGACAGAGTCAGGGTGTCTGTCTCAGGAGAACTAAGAGGTGGAGCTGGGCTGATATGCCCAGTACTTGTGGGAAAATCCCTGAGCCAGTAGGATACCCAGCCCTGTTCTAGGCAGAAGCAATCACGGCAGGGAATCAGGAGGAAGTCCCAGTAGAGCATCTGTAGTTGAGAAAACTCTTTGGATTTTATAAGGAACATTTTAGGAATGTGAAATACTGGCTTGAAGTGAAACACACGTCTTCAAGTCTAACCGAGCAGCCCGACTCCCTTTCCTGAGGCAGGCTATCTGAGGCAGGCTGCCTGGGCCGTTGGTGGCCTTTGCTCTATGATAGGGGGAAGTCCCCTCACCGTCCAGCTGGGGCTGATGCTATGTTAAGAACTTGTTTACAGCCTGTGGAATAGCCAGTTCGCTAGGGCTGTTTGGGACCATTTCAAGAAATACTTTGTTTTTTCTTTCTCCCAGAGAGGGGGAGAATACAGAAACATAAACAAACCCACAAAGTGAGTCTTCAAAGGCAGGGGAAGGAACTTTTGGCTTTGTGCTGCTGAAGTGTGTCCATGAAGCATGAAATTCTACGCTGAGTGTGTGAACTGCTGGGCCACTTGACTCTAACCGTATCTAATCTATATGTATTTTGTATTTTCTGCTCTTTCTGCTTCCACAAAAGATGGGCCAATCAAGCTTTTCTGTAGGTTGCTCCTCACCAAGCGTGTTGGGTATTTGCTGTGTGTTCTGTTGGTCACCCTGTGCTTTGACATCTCTCCACTCCATCCAACTTTGAGCCATTGCATTAAACATCGTGTCTCTAGGTAGTCTGGGTGTCGGCTGACTGTGACTCCAGGTTTCAGCTGAATCTGTAGCTCCTCCTTTAGGCCTGGATTCGCAGGCCGTGTTCCATTCCTTCCCTTTGAGAGAAGGAATGTTTCTTTTCTAACTCACTTTTCAGAGTCAGTATTAACCTTCCCACTCTAAGAGGACTGAACCCTAAGGAAATAAGGGGAAGAAGGGAAAAATGTTAGCTGTACCTTTCCAGAACGCTCCCAGTGTCTGTGGCTCACTGTGTGGAACAACCACCCATTTAAAGTCATTTTCTTTAGTTTGAGTCCTGGGGTCACAGTGTATGTCAACATCACCTGTAGACCCCTGCGGTCTACTGCACCCAATACCTAGCTAAAGTCAGAAAAACAAAATTTCCTTACTTGGATTAAAGAACTACCTCCCCTATCTTCTCTCTCCCTTAGTGCAACCCCCCAGCCCCCATACACACCCCCAATTAGAGAAAGCCTTTGTCTGTAGAAGACATTGGTTCTCCTGGGTAGCATAGACAAAAGAGTAAGTATGATCAGGAATCTAACACTGTTGATAATGGGGACAAGGGTGCCATGTTTAATGATAGAAAGCCTGTTTGGGCAAAAGCTGTGTCTCTGTGTTGCTGCATGCTTCTGTGTGGATTTATCTGATGACATTCCTTCTCTTTCTATGGCCTTTGTAACTCTGGAGGAATGAGAGGCACCATCCATCTCCCTTTTCAGTTAATGCCAATGGAGGCAGGTAGCCTGCCAAATAAAAGCTCGGGTGCTGGGCACCTTTGTTTCCTTCTGTCCTGAAGCATTGACTTTCTCTTCCCTTTCCTGATAATAATGGTAAATAGTGAGGCTCACATTGGGCAGGTGAACAGCTTGATGTATATTTATATGTATGTTAGGGTTAGGTTAGGGGTAGGAAAATACACACACACACACACACACACACACACACACACACAGAGAGAGAGAGAGAGAGAGAGAGAGAGAGAGAGAGAGAGAGAGAGAGAGAGAGAGCACTAAGTGGTTTGGGAAGCCTTGCTTATGATATATAATTAATACATAGACTTGTAGGCAGTTATCTTTATAGGCTCGTTTTTCTCAAAAATGAGAGGTGTTTGCATTCATTCCCCTTAGTCTGTAAATATTAGATCCATCCTCTCTGTTTCAATATATTAACCATTTCACTGACAATGTCTAGATAAAGATAGCTGACTCATCTAAAGGGGGTGAGGGAGCTGGAGAGATGGTTCAGTTGGTAAGATACTCACTGATCTTCCAAAGGTCCGGAATTCAGTTCCCAAAACCCACATGGCAGCTCACAATTGTCTGATGCCCCGTTCTGGTATGCAAGTGTACATACAGACAAAGTACCCATATACATCAAATACTGAAATAAATAAATCTTTAAAAGGGGAGAAGGAACTGCGGCATTCCTGAGGAGTCTATGATTTCTGTATACCCCTTCTGTCTTCTCTTCGCTGTTCTCTATTATAGGCAATTGATGGTTCCTAGTCTATTGGAAATGCCTCAGCAACCAGTGCAATCTCATTTCACAGTCACCCACAGAAATGTATTTTCCTGGCTGAAGATCATCCTTCATGATGGGATCTTCCTGGTGCTTTAGGCAGTCCTCTCTGCAGTTCCTGGTCATCCCTTAAGACTTATTTGTTGACATATATTCTAGGAACAACAGCTGAAGACGTCAAAATTTAGGATAGTATTTTCCCTCTGCTATATAATCACATTGTCTAATATTGTAACTAGAAAGCAATAGTTTACCGAGGAGGTAGTGGCACATGCCTTTAGTCTCAACACTTGTAAGGCAGAGGCAGGTAGATCTCAGTGAGTTTGAGGCCAGCCTGGTCTACAAAGTGAGTTCCAGGATAGCCAGGACTAATACACAGAGAAACCCTGTCTCTAAAAACAAAAACAGAAACCCCCACACAAACAAAAAAGAAAACAATAGCCTAATAGCCCCCAATAAAGCCAAATAAATTCACTCCCTAACTCCTAGATAGCTTTTATAATAGTCCAGTGTCAGGCAGCCAAATGGGGACCTTGAATGGCTCTGGCCAATGCCAGGTGCTTTCTATATTTCTATATATCACCTGGATACCTCTTGCCATCTTCCTCCAGTGTTAAAATGTCCATCTGCAAGGACTGTTGTCTGATTGTACCTGAAGCTTATGTGGTTCTAGATGGGACTTAATTTCATTATCTCTGACATCTCCAGCTGTGAAAATTAAGAAGCCGATCAAGACGAAGTTCAGAATGCCAGTATTTAACTGGGTTGCTCTCAAGCCCAATCAGATCAATGGCACAGTCTTCAATGAGATCGATGACGAGCGGATCCTAGAGGTATCTGTCTCTTTGGTTATAAACCAGAGATGCATACTGTGATGCAGGACGAAGGAGGCTGTCCTGTTTGCCCACAAGCATCACTAGCAGAGTTGTGATGTTTCTATACTCTAATGTGAAGAAGAAACAGATTTGTACTGTCAAAATTAACTGTTTTTTTGTCTAATTTAGACATGATTTTATAAGAAGGTTCTAAAACTATGTCTAAAATGTTAAGTTAGAATAATAGTTTTGAGTATTTTCAGTGTTGGCCACAAAATATATGTCTGACACAGCCCTGTCTTGTAACTTATAAGAACATGACAGCTTTTCTTGAATTATGCTGGTTAAGGACTCAATAATTGTGCTGACTGTCAGAGTTCATGGATTTAGCCTGTGGCAGATGTCTATGTAAACCAACTATTGAAAGCAACAGAATTGGATTGTTAGGATCAGAATTCTCTGATGTTCACTTCTGGCTATGTAACAGGATGTGATGGGCTACCCTGCCATAAACAGAAGTACATCAAGCCAGGCAGGGAGAAGCACTCAAGAGAATGGAAGGTCTTTGCTTAGAGAATGTCTAAATGATGAGGTATTTGCTAATGGGAATGACTTAATTTTAATGTATGATCCAGTTTGTCAATGTCATCCTTCTCCACCCTAGGATTTAAATGTGGACGAATTTGAGGAAATATTCAAAACAAAAGCCCAAGGTCCTGCCATTGATCTTTCATCAAGCAAGCAGAAAATAACACAGAAGGGATCAAGTAAAGTGACTCTGTTAGAAGCAAATAGAGCCAAAAACCTTGCCATAACTTTAAGGAAAGCTGGGAAGACTGCTGACGAGATATGTAAAGCTATTCACGTGTAAGTCTCTACTAAGTCTCTTCTAAGGAAGAGATAAGAGTACAAATCAGCAGATGATGGAAACAGTAAGGCATGATCTAAGTGCAAAGATGAAGGAATTCTTGGTACGCACACTTCACAGCTCCCCTTGTTCCTCGTTTGCTATTGCTCCTGAATGGAGATGGTAACACCAGAAGGTTACCAGGGGAGTGCCGTATCCATATGCCATTTGGCAGTTTAGAAGTTCTCAACCTACTGGTCACGGCCCCTTTGGGGGTCAGACCACCCTTTCACAAAGGTCACTCACCAGATAGCCTGATATCAGTTATTTACATAATGATTCATTACAGCACCAAAATTACAGTTAGGAAGTAGCAACAAAAATAATTTTATGGTTGAGGTCACCACAACATGAGGCATTGTATTAAAGGGTCGCAGCATTAGGAAGGTTGAGAACTACTGGTTTAGAAGAGCATTTGGCTTGGGACAGCATTTGTTTTCTCGGCTCTGTTTTTCTATAGAGACGCACAGTAGCACTCACATAAAAGGGAGGTGGAGCTGAGTGGAAACGAGGAACTTGAGGGAAGGGAGAGATGGCGGTTTTCTCTGGAGGATCTGGATAGCATCCAGATTTGCTGAATCCAAACTTGATGGCATCTTTGGAATCATACAGTTCAGTGTCAGCTGCAAATGTGATACAGATGCATGTTTTAACTGATGACAGCAGGAATGGGAATTCTTTTGCTTTTAGTACTTCCTGGTTGTCCTAAATAAGTCCTTTTCCTTTTTTTTTTAATTTATAAATTACACAGAAGGTACTGGGTTTGTTTATCTTCTAGGAAAATCTCCCCAGTCTTCTGGTATTACTGATGTTTCCAAAATTATGCTTTAGAGTTTGATATTTTATAATTCCTGACTGGTAAGCTTACCTAACTCAAAGGGATCATTTGCTCTGATTTTGTCTCTTTAACCAGGGTCATAATCTAATAGTCTTCTGCAATCTTTTCTGATTTCCAATATTGAAATATGGTGTGCAATCTGGGTTTTAATATCACATGCCTTGTTTGCCATACTAATGTGTGGGTAATTCCATTATTTTGCTGAACAAAGATTATCTGGAGAATAAAATAGGAACCACACAAACACTTATCCAAACCTGAGATTCCTTCAAATGATGTATGTACCTACATTAAATTATCTGTGTAGAATGGGAATTTGACTGAGTTTTATCTCCAGAGATAGCAAAGCAATGACAGAAACATCTTACAAAACTCACCAGATGTTCACAAAGTCTAGAGCCTGGTCCTTGGACTGCATTACCAGCCTGTGCTCCAGCCTTAATACCGCGTGCTGCTTTCTCCTCTTGACTGATTTCTAGCGGCCGTAGCTACCTGGAGCCCTAAGATAATATAACTTAAACCTGAGCATGGTCTGGGGTATCAGTTAGGGTAACTGGTGCCCAGCAGGGACCAACAGCAAGATAGCGCTTCAGCAGTCCAGCTGTCCGAACCAAGGCCTGTTGTCTTGGTGGTAGATGAGCTGGATTTGATGGGGGAAGAACACTGACCTGCTGGTGCTGATTTCAGGTTTGACTTGAAGACACTACCGGTCGACTTTGTTGAATGTTTGATGAGGTTCTTGCCAACTGAGAATGAGGTCAAAGTGCTCCGGCTCTATGAGAGAGAGAGAAAGCCCTTGGAGAACTTGTCGGACGAAGACCGCTTCATGATGCAGTTCAGTAAGATTGAGCGGCTCATGCAAAAGATGACCATCATGGCCTTCATTGGGAACTTTGCAGAGAGTATTCAGATGCTGACTCCTGTGAGTTGACCAGGGCAGGGCTACAAAAATATAGAGCCATTTATTGTTGTACATCTCTCTGAATTACACTCATCTAATATGGGTTCTAAAGAGTCCTTCTAGACCTTTAGAGATTACATTTGGGTTTAAGCTCTCATTTTCACAGTGTGAATCTAAATCTCTATATATGACTGTTCTGTCAAAAGAATATTGTTTTCTGTGATTATAAGTATGTTCTGCATTTCAAATAACGTAAGTACAGAGGACACTAAAAACCAGTTCCTTATTGGCAAGACTAGAAATGTGACTCTCTTTTCTAAAAACAGCTCTGTGTCTTTAGTGAGCAGCAATTCTAGAAATTTCCAGGAACACTGACTGTACTACCCGAGGATGGTTCTTCTTTGAGACTTTGCTGAAGTAGATTGTGGTGATGCACAAATAAATAGCAGTCAGCTATCTCATTCCCCATGTTAGTGTGGCTGAAACTTAGCGATGTCAGAAACGTCAAATTGTCCTCGGTTCCGTAGTTACTGCTCACAGTAGCATGTTTCTTTTGCGAACTTCTATAGAATCCTATATTGCTGCCCTTCCACAGCTTGGATATCTCTAGTGATTTAAAAGTATAAATTGTGTACGATTAGGGGTGGTTCACTGGAAACTGAATTATGCCAGAAGGGGCTGTTAGCTCCTACCTTGCAATCTTACTGGTTTGGCTAAAGATAAACAATTTCCTGCATTACTTGTTACTGTGAGTAGTTTGTGAGAAGAACATATGTAATGCTAGGGTTACCTAAGGCACAATTAGTTCTCAGTTCCCAGTGAGTTTGCCATTTTTAACAGTCTTTCCCATCTTTCCTTCTTCTGTTTGGAATCCAGCAACTTCATGCAATTATTGCAGCATCTGTTTCTATCAAGTCATCTCAAAAGCTCAAGAAAATTCTGGAGGCAAGTGCACTTTTCTTGTTACATTCATGGAGAGTCCACTTGCCAGCTGTCTTCCAGCACCTGGGATGCTCTCCCTGATGAATTCCGCTTTTCTCTCTTGCTTTTCCAGATCATCTTGGCCCTTGGAAACTACATGAATAGCAGCAAACGAGGAGCAGTTTATGGATTTAAACTTCAGAGCTTAGATCTGGTGTGTGAACTAAAAGAAATATGGGATCCTCAAAGGACATACAGCTGCAGAGATTAAGTTGTAGAGGGGGTCTCTTCCGGGGGTGGGGGGGAATGTTGGAGGAGAATGTTCTTAGTGCAGGAGGGTGAGTTGGTGTAAATTTTCTGAAACACTGTTTGACAGGAAGGACCAGATACTTCAGGCCTTTCACCCAGGATTGACATTTTCACGAATCTTTCCTTAGAGGCTGAATTATGAATACTGCATTTTATAGCAATAATCTCAAGTTCCAGTATGATGGAAAAGGACTAGGATAACAGTTAACAGTGAACTATCTAGTTTTGTAAACACTTGGAAAGACTTTTCAGACAAATAATTTTGCTTGGAAAATTAGAATATGGTTGCATGTATATTCTTTTTTTTTTGCATGTACAAAGTGCAGTCCTTTGCAAAGCCATCTTCCATGACATCCCCTTCAGACTCTGCAGATCTGTCTTTCAAGTCAAGGAAGAAATGGTTAATTGGTAGTGTCACATAGGTCATGATTTCACCCCGATGAATAGTGTCTGTGTAGGATTTGTCCCAGTCTCTTCAAGGATACCAGACATTTCAGATAGTCCGGTCTTTCTATAAAATTGTGTAATGTATGGATTTAACCTAAACATGTCCCTCTAGCTTTTAAATCATGTCTAGTTAACTTATAATTCCTAGTGCTATGTCATGATATACAGGCAATTGCTTCATGGCATTATGTATGAAATAATCACAAGAAAAGGTCAACATAGAGGCAGTTTCTTCCTCAACATTTTCTGTCTGAGGTTGGTAAAGTTCATGGATTCCGAATACCCGACAGAGAGCCAGCTGTATCTCTTTGAGATCATCAGAGCCAGGGAATAAGGGAGAACCTGCTGCCTCGGCTGTGCCAAGCACATCTGGGGGTCCACCTTTCACATCTGCTCTGGGTCTTCTTGAAGAGCGGTGATACCTGGGGTCCTTTCACACTGAGCTAAGGGGTGTGGCTGGATGGCAGATGCAGGCGTAGGGATAATTCTTATCAGGAAGATGAGGATCTGAAGAGTTCCTAGTCAGTGCCCTAGCATTCAGCACATACTCTGTCAAGACAGCCTCTGGCTCTTTAGGCACCAAAGGACTGGTTCTCCACAGGGATACATTGGATCTTGAGACTCCTGGGGATAGTTTTTGCCAACCTTTTCTGGAGTTCTACTGATTTTTTCTCTGGGCACTTGCACCTTGCTCTTGGACCTAACCCGCATCTCCTTATTTTTTTTTTTCAGCTCTTAGACACGAAGTCAACAGACCGCAAACAAACACTGTTGCACTATATATCAAATGTGGTAAAAGAAAAATATCAGCAAGTTACTCTATTTTATAATGAGCTTCATTATGTGGAAAAGGCTGCTGCAGGTACTTCCTTTCAGCTGTTAGCCTTACCTTGGGATGGTTAATATCATAGCTATGAGGGAGTCATTCCTGGCTGAAACACTCCTGAGAACCCACTGCAGGAGGCAGGGTCAGTACGTCAGCCCTCACGGGCTGAAATGTTGCAATGGTGCCACCCTTCTGAGCAGCTGAATGGAGGCTGGTGGGTGGTGTCTGTCAGCAGCTTTTCTCTAAGGATCCAGGGCTTTGAGATGTGCCTCCTCCATTCCCACCCATCACTCTTTTTGTCTTCTTGCTATTGGATTAGACAAGATGGTGAGCTGCAGAGTCTGAACCGCAGGAAGAAATGGCTACAAACAGGCTGGAACAGACATATCACAGGCTCACTTATGCAGCTAGCGGAGTGGAATGGTTTTCCTTTGTGTAAACTAAGGTTCTTAAGTATGATTCCTTCCAATTAAGAAAACCAAGTAGCAAGACTTCTAAGTAGTAGCACAGATGGTTTGGCCTGGAAATTTTCCTTTGATAAAAGCCTGTGAGAAAAATACAGACCGATACGCTCACTGGTGCCCAGGCTATTGACACATGCTCTTAATGTAGTCAGGTAGGACTGCCCGTTGCTTAGCAGCACGTTTGAGTACTTCCTCTGCATGTGGCACTGTCAGAAGTATTATGGGATCAAACTGGGGGTGCCCTGAGAATTAAACAGTTCAGGTCTGAAATCCGTCCATGGGCAGAGCTGAATAACAGGCAAAGCAGAACTGGGACCAACTCATACGAACTGGGCTCATAAGAGTTAAGGAGAGTGCCTGCTCTGCGTGGTGGCAGTATTTCAAGCTTCACCCCAAATTCTTTGAAACAAGAAGGGCTTAACAAAAAGCTAAGGTTGCCTTAGGTCTTCGTGGTCTATACAACTAAAGATCAGCAGGTAAAATTCTGCCCCCTGCTGGAAAGTTACAGGCAAGCAAAAGCATCCAGAGTAAGAGGGTAGAAAAAAGCCTTGTGCCTATTTGAACCTACAACTAAACTAATAGGCTAGATGTGGATCTGAGTCGTGAGACTCATCATGGCAGACCACAGAACCTCTTTATGTTGCTCTTCCTCATTGGCAAAGTATGCTACTAGAACAGTAGGATTAGTGCATTTGAAGAATTTAGTGTAGTATTTGATAGTGGCTTTTCATGAATTATTCAGGTTGTGCCCAAACTCTGAACCCCCAAATCACCAAGAGACCTGATTTGATGCAAAAGCAGTCTTTAATTTTATGAGTTATCTCGGTTCCGCAGTCCATCCTACACAGGGTGAAGCAGGCAGGACCAGGAGGGACCATGGGCAACAGTGGGGCAGGGAATATATTGAGTTAGCACAAGGGGAGTGTCTGGGGTCCACAACAGTCTCAGGATTGGTGCACTTCCATGGTTAGGCAACTTATCCTGAGTTGATTGGTCAGCAGCAGCTATAGAAAGGTTGCTATGCCTAGACCCCACCCAGGGTAGTTGCTATGCTCTGTATTCCAGAGCCCGCCAGCTAACTTCTGTTTGGTTCCTTGCTACATGGAGGGTATAGGTTGGGAGCTCAGCACATGTTGCTGAGTCAGGAGCCTTTGTCTTGCTGGCTCTTTTCTGTCATGGCTGCCAAAGCAAGAGGTTGGGTGAGGGCCTGGCTCCTTCAATTCATAATAAAGGCTATATGTGACTAAAGCAGGGCACTAGTTATAAGGGTCCTGAGCAAGCCTTACAGTACTGAGAACTTGGCTTAGCAGCAAGATTCCTCTCCCTAGAAGTTTCCTGATGTGTTGTTTTCTCTCCTTCAGTCTCCCTTGAAAATGTTCTGTTGGATGTCAGGGAGCTGCAGAGGGGAATGGATTTAACCAAGAGGGAGTATACCATGCATGACCACAACACGCTGCTGAAAGACTTCATCCTGCACAACGAGGGGAAGCTGAAGAAGCTGCAGGATGATGCTAGGATTGCTCAGGTAGCTGAGAGAGCGAACACCTTCAGACCACCTGAGGCACAGGCTCTGCGCTGGGAGAGTAATGCTGCGTTTTTCTAGCATCACTGGGTCAATTGCTAAGGCAGTTAATGTTTGGTTTTCCCCCTGTTGGTGCTGTTCTGTAGAAGCTCTCTCTGTCCCTTCCCTTTTGTTCCTGAATTCCTTCTAGTGCAGGTCTGTTTGTATTCAGTTCTGTAACATGTCAGGCCTGGGCTCCAAAGCAATGTCTCTGGAGTATAAGGTTTCTGTAGGTCTTAGACTTCATACTGGTCTGTCACTCCAGGGACCTCTGATATACAAGCAAACCTAGTACAGTTCATGTTCTAGAGCGGGAGGTGGAGTGCTGGGGAACTGGAGGCAGATAGTGATAGCTCTGGCTTAGGCTGTAGTGGATCACAAAAGAGACTTTGTGTGTGTGTGTGTGGCGGGGGCATTTGCAAGGAGTATGAATGAAAGCATTGGGATTTAGAGCCAGGGCTGCTTCCAAGATCCTTCCTGACTTTGTGGTTTAAGGAGTTTAGTCTTGAGTATAGGAAACTCATGGAAGAAATAGTGCTTGTGTGTGTGTGTGTGTGTGTGTGTGTGTGTGTGTGTGTGTGTGTGCGCGCGCGTGTAAAAGGGATGTTGGTGGAGTTAGAGAAGAAACAGATCTTAGAGAAAAGTTTCTTTGCCCGACCATTGTACTTTAGTTAAGTTAAGGTGTTATAGAGAATTCCATGGGGCACAGAAACAATAAGGCACACAGACATCTTTCCAGTCCTGGTAGTGGTATCAATGTGATTCAAGAAAAATTTGCTCCTTTTCAGGATGCCTTTGATGATGTGGTGAAGTATTTTGGTGAAAACCCCAAGACAACACCACCCTCTGTGTTCTTCCCTGTCTTTGTTCGGTTTGTGAAAGCTTACAAGGTAAGTAGGAGAGCACCCATAATCTTTTTGTCCACTTGTCCACCAGGTGCCCTCCTCCAGAAATGTCTGGCTCCTCTGCAGAGGCCTCTTTGGCCTTGGGCAGCAGATCCAAGGGACCACTCTCTGCCCTGCTGATGCTGAGAGCTTTTTTAGGATCCTCAGACTGTGATGGTTCATTTTTCCATGGAGCCATGCCTGGCCCTCAGCAAGAAAGACAAGGCAATTGGCTACCTGCTTGGGGCAAGGGAGATGCTCCACTAGCCCTGCTGCCATTCTTGACTGTTGACCCATACAAGCAAGGTGAAGGGCATAGAAAATCCTCACCGACATGGAGTTGTTTGATGGGCCAAGTGGTCCAGGGCATGTCAGTAGCACTGAGGTCAGGGAGCTCCTACGTATTGTTTATAGACCTGATTGAATGGTGAGACTTCTTAAACTAGCATTCACTATTATGGAAGGAAGGATGGTGCTGTACAGGACTGCAGCTTTTGCTTTTTTAGTCTGGACACATCTTTGGACATGATCCATGATGTTGAAAACCATGTGACTAAAAGAAAAATTGTTTCCAAAGATTTTTCCTTTGGGGAAAGAATAACAAGACGACTTTGGAAACATTTAGCACCTAGGAAGCCCTGTGGTCTTTTAGTGCCTGTGGGGTTTGGTTCTGGCAGTTTGGTGATACCTGCTTCTGATGATATTCAGCTCCTTCACATAAAATGACACAGTACTTATTTTTATAGAACTTGCACATATCTCTGTACATTTTTCTCTCTAAATTAGTTGTAACATATCCACCAATTATACTAGTTTCTTTTCTGTTGTTGTGACAAAACATCACGACCAAGGTGATTTATAAGAGTTTAATTGTCCTTATTGTTCCAGAGTTTATGCTGGCAGAGAGAAGGCAAGGTGGCAGGAGGCTGGGTATACAAGCCAAGAGGCACAGAGCACACTGGGAATGGTCTTTAGAAACCTCAAAGTCCAGTGACACACCTCCTCCAACAAGGCCACTTCTCCTAATCCTTCTGTGTTGGTCTGAATAAGATGGGCCCCTGTGGGCTCCTGTATTTATATGCTTGATCAGTGGCTAACTAAGCTGTCTGGAAAGAATTAGGAGGTGGGACCTTGACGGAGGAGGAGTCACTGGCGGCTGGCTTTGAGGTTTCCAAAGCCCACACTTTTTTCTCTGCCTGTGCATCAGACACTTGTCTGTGCGCCACCATGCTCACCATAAACAAACTGGATTAAACCTCTGAAGCTGTAAACTCCCACGTAAATGCTTTCTTTTGTGAATTGCTTTGGGCATATTGTCTCTTCACATCAACAAAACAGTGACTAAGATGCTTCCCAAAAGGTTTCACGAACTAGGGACTAAGTACTGAGACCTATGAGCCTATGTGGTACATTCTCATTCAATCTACTATGCCAGTACTATGCAAATAATGGAAATATAATTTAGGAAAGGAGAAAAATGTTGTCATTGTTTAGTAAAGATAATATTTTAATACGTATATGATTAAACTCATAGATGTGGAGTCCACAGATATTGAGAACTATCAATCAACCCTGGAGTTTTTTGTGTTTAACATTGGTTATGTTGGTTGAGTTTGTTTGTTTGTTTTTTTGGAGACAGGGTTTCTCATTGTAACTTTGGAGCCTGTCCTGGAACTCACTCTGTAGACCAGGCTGGCATTGAACATCCGCCTATCTCTGCTTCCCAAGTGTTGGGATTAAAGGCATGTGTCACCACAGAGTATTTTTATAAAAACGAGTAGAGGCTAATTAATTCTGGGCCTATTACTCTAAGATTAAAGCATTTAGTTACTTCCTTTAGTCATAGCCAATATAGCGGCCCTGTCATAAGCTGAGGGTGCACAAGGCATGGGATGGGAGGAGGGCCACTGTCTTCCAGCTGATGGTAACTAGTACTCTGTAGTGGGCTGGGCGTAGCCATGCTAATGAGCTGTAGAGATATCCTGGGAAGCCTCTGTGAGGTGCTATAATCACATTTCTTTACATGAAAATTTCTATGCCTAAGGTCAGAAGAGAAATCATATGTAAAAATTATAAAACCACCTGGGAAGCTCTGGGATTGCTCTCCAAGGTTTCACTTGGGACATGTATGGAACAGAGGCAAAAAGAAGCTGGCTCTGTCCTCAGTGATCTTTGGGATATTGTGGTCAAGCTTGTTTACAAGTATGCTCCTCTGCCTTACTGTTTATCCTTGCAATCATTGTAATGGATAGAGATGCCTGGTGGTGACCATGGTGCAATATTGGGAATTAAGTGATACTGAGAAGTTAATACACTGACCTTTTTTTCTCCTTCCTATGAGCCAAAAGGAAATGTAACAAAAGCAACAGACATATGTACACATATATAAAAGTCAAAGAATAAATAAAATTTCATTTTAAAGGAGGGAAATAGACATCAAAATGCAAACCTACTGACAGAATGGAACTTGTCAATTATACTCAATCCCTAAACCAAACAGACAACTTTCCATCAGTTTATGGCTCCATAGAAGTCTCTTGAGCAGGGACAATGTCAAGAGAGTCCCCAGAGAGCAGAGTCCATTCCTTCTTTTTCTAAGCTATCAGATCAACATTCTGACTCATTTGGAGAGTTGTCGGGAGAAGCCAAGAATCCTGTTGTGGGATGGCCCTTTTGCAAGTGTAAGTCCCAGAAAATGGAGGTTTTCTCCAGCAAAAGAGGGGAATCTTAGATCCTGCTCTGAGAGAAGCTGTTATTAGGTGGGCAGATTCTGGAAGAAATTGAGGCTCACTTGAAAATCATTTATTTGTACAGGTCAAGGAAGATGAGGGACGCTCCTGTAGTTAAGGTGTAGATCAGATGAAACTATGAAGACTTGTCATATCCAGACAGTGAAACAGAATTGGAGTAGAATGTGGTCATGGAGGATCCTCTCTTTCACTTCAGTTCCCAAACCACTATGGAGTTTTCAGATGGCTTCAAAAAAACCTTAACTGTCAACATTTTCATTTATGCAATTTTCAATCTTTATTTTAAAATTGTATTTCCCCAGCAAGCAGAAGAGGAAAATGAGCTGAGGAAAAAGCAAGAACAAGCTCTCATGGAAAAACTGTTGGAGCAAGAAGCATTGATGGAGCAACAGGACCCAAAGGTAAGAAGTGTGTGCTTCCGAGATGGGCCTGAATGAAACACAAGTATGGGCTGACTTGTACTCTCGAGATCCTGACTCTCGAGATGCCTTCCGCTGGCATGTGGACATTTTTTCCCCTTCCGTTATTTGTTCAACTACTTCTAAAATAAAAGGTCAAGAATTTAGTTGTATAGTCAGAGAAGCCACACAACATTTCTGATAATCAGGGTCTTGAACCAGGAAAGGCTCCATAGTGTCCATAGGTACTGACCTTCACCAATGGTGAAACTGCTAGGTTTGGAAGGAAGCATTTCATGGAGACTGGCAGGCTTTTGCTGCAAGGTTTGAGCTGCAAGGTTACTATTATCAGCTATCTCTGTGGCCACAGAAGCTAGCCTATACCAAACTGAGGAGAGGACTCAGTCAACAAGAACTTACCTTGCAAGTATCAGGACTTAAGTTTTATCTCCAGCACCCATAAATGCTGGGCATGGTGGTGGATGCTTGTAATCCAAAGCTCTGGAGGTATAGACAACTGGATAGAGCTGGTTGGCCAGCCAGTCTATCCTACTTGGTGAGCTCCAGGTCAGTGAAACTCTTGTCTCAAAAAGCAAGGTAGGTATCACCCTTCGACACACATGCATACCCTTTACATTGCTGTCTAGTTAGGTTTTGTGTGTTCATAGCTTTAATTTTTTGTTGTCTTCCCAGAAACTTCCTAAATTTTTGGCATTGAAGCAGAATGTTGGCATGGTGGTGAATGTAATGTTGGCTCTGGCTGTTCAATGTAAAAAAGCTCGGGCTTTGAGTTTTCTTAAAGTCCAGATAGGTATTGGTGTCATCAGTCTCTGCTTTTCTTCTCAGTCTCCTTCCCATAAATCAAAGAGGCAGCAGCAAGAGTTAATTGCAGAATTAAGAAGGCGACAAGTTAAAGATAACAGACACGTATATGAGGGAAAAGATGGCGCCATTGAAGACATTATCACAGGTAAAGGGTATTTCGTCTTTGTGGTCTGTAGTGATCACACTGCCTCACAGGAGTGGGAACACATACAGATATTGCAGTACCTTTTGTCAACAGTTGGCAAGCTTTTTAGCTGGGTTAATGAGATTTAGAATTATCAGCAATATGTAAACTAGGGTTTGAAGTACATTTCTATTGCTTGCTGTCCAACACCCTGAACAATCTTGACCCTTCTGTACCTGTGGGACCCTAAGTCTTCTTCCTAACAGTTTCCCCTTGGCTTTGTCATCCTTTGGCATTTTCTACCTTGTGGTCACTCCTACATGCTTGCTTAATAGGAATACTGCAGGAGAACTCATTCTCTGTACTAACAGCCAATGCAGGTTTCTCTGGCATGCTTTTTTTAAAAAAAAAAAAAAACATGTTTACTCATTCAAAGTAGCAAAGCCAACAGGAAATTGTATTCTCATTTGGATGAATCCATAGGGTTCTAGCTCAGAACTGGGGAATGATATCAGTTAGTTTCATGTTTTCTGCTTGAATCAGTTCTCTAGGGTTTCATACTGCCTCTTACTGGCCAGGATACTTAGGCCACTGGTCTGTTTAGCAGTGGCAGTAAGTGACTTGTCTTCAGTGTCATTTGCACATGAATTACTGTTTATCAGCTAAGATACTTAAAGCATTTTGCTCATATATGGTGAGGTTTGTGGAATATGTTAAAGGATAGACGTCGTATGTCCAGGTGTTCCTCATGCATCTCAACAGGAAGCCATGGTGAATCTTGTTACTTGTATATGCTAGTGCCCCTATTCTCCTCCTCAGGATCCAATCCCTGGGCCTTTTTCAGGCATTCCCATAACCGAAACTTCATTATAAAACAAAGTAAAAAACTAAACAATTCCTTAATATTAAATGTGTAGTTATTATTCCCAAACTCTACTTTTTAAAAAATGTAATTGCCTGAATTTTCTTGTAGCTTACTAAGCATTGTGAATAGGGATGTCAAGTTTTTTTAAACCGCAGAATTTTTTGACCATCTTAGACACAGGGAAGTAGATATGTAGACTAGACTTGAAGTCAATAAAGAATTCCTTGCTTGTTATTAAAGCAGGGTAAATGAAGGACTAGTGTAAATGGCAATCTGTTCTCAGTGTGCACATGGACTTGTGTCAGCATGCACTATGCAGTCGTTTGCAGAATGCCCTTTGTGGGGCATTTCCCTGTCTCCTCTATGGAGGACTAGCAATGTTCTCAGTGTGCACATGGACTTGTGTCAGCATGCACTATGCAGTCGTTTGCAGAGTGCCCTTTGTGGGGCATTTCCCTGTCTCCTCTATGGAGGACTAGCAATGGATGTCTATCAGAATGCCCTTTGTGGGGCATTTCCCTGTCTCCTCTATGGAGGACTAGCAATGGATGTCTATCAGAATGCCCTTTGTGGGGCATTTCCCTGTCTCCTCTATGGAGGACTAGCAACGGATGTCCACCAAGGGAAAGACCTGAGTGCCACAGCAAGTTTAACTCCAGACTCGGAAAGCATCCAAGTTTGCACAGTAAGAACTCAAGACATGGGCTGCCTTTAGTGCCACCCACCTGTAATCCTAATACTTAGGGGGTTGCAGGATGGAAGATGAGGAGACCAAGGTCATCCCGCCTCGAAAACCAACAAGAACCAAAATGTCCTCCACCTTACTTAAAAAATAGATGAGATATCTGATATTTGTCTATTATCTTAGAATAGTTTTTCCTTGGACCATTTTTAACTTCCAACTCCCCACCCTCCAAGTCACAGATTTCCTTCTAGACTTTAACTGGATGGAATACATATTGCCTTCTCTCTTCTTTCCTCTTACACTAACCATGTACTAATGCAGAAGACCCTGGCGTTTTACTCTCATTTGTTGTCTGGCTATTATTCTCAATGCAGTGCTGAAGACTGTGCCCTTTACTGCTCGCACGGCCAAGCGTGGGTCTCGGTTTTTCTGCGAACCTGCTCTCACTGAGGAATACCATTACTAAACTATTGCTCTTTGTCACCTGATATTAAAAGGTTGCTGTAGGTTTTTTTTAAACGTCTTATTCTACCCCAAACCCCTGTGTCTTAGGACCAACTATGTTAGCATGGAATGCCATCTGCTTCATTTTACACTTTGTGTTGTCTTCATGTTGCATGGTTTTGTATTTGTCATTACTGTATACTCACTGCCACTTTCAGTACATGTGTGTAACCACATTCCTGCAATGATATGGATGTGGGTGACAGTTAATAGAAGCACTTTCTGGGGGCTAATATCAGTAACTACTAAGGCCAATCAATGTTTACAGATAACACCTTTCTGCATAACCCTTGTGCTGAGCTAACATGGCACTAAAACCATGTACTGTCAAGTGCTCAGGAAATGAACGGGGCAGGGAGCAATGAGGTGGCCCCATGGGGACAGTGCCTGCCACAAAGCCTGTGACTAAGGTCGAGCCCCAGTACCTACACGAGGAAAGGAAAGGAGATTCGGGCAAATTGTCCTCTCACTTCCACACCTGAACCACAGCACATGATGCCCCCCCAAACTTAATAAAATCATCCATACTATGTATGAAAATGAGAAAAATTCTAAAGTTGCATTTACACAAGGCCCTATATCAAACATAACTGCAAATTAGGCCTTTCCCAGGTGTCTTGTATAGTCCTAGGTGTGCCAGAACTCAATGAGCTTTACACTGGGGGAAAAACACCAGCAATTCATGACTTTGCAACTCTGCCCTGGGCAGGTGACTTCTATTTACTGTCATGCCCTATTTCAGCCATCTGCAGCAATTAAGACTAAAGAGCTCCTCACTGTCTTCCTTATATCCTTCATTGGTAACTCTGTTCCATGTCAAATCAGAGTATTTCTTTGCGATGAGGTCACAGCTAGACCTGCTTGTTAGGGGAGTGGCAGCAGATAGTACATTCACCACTGGAAAAGCATTTCTCATAGCACTTGGAAACTGGAGAGGTATGTAAGATTTGCCCAAGTACTTTCCTGAGCTTAGTGTTTATTTTAAAAAGGAATAAGCATATGTCTATGCATAGTTGCTTACAAAAGAGACAACATAGTACCAATTGTCAATAGCCACTGACTGTCTCCTACGTGAAGACTGACATGGATGGCTGTCTCCTGTGCTGAGATTGACATGGAACTGGGTTATGTGTTTTGTGGTGCAACTCTTCTGTGAATTGTATTTGCTAGGCGTGCTTCTCTTTGAATCGAAACTTGCCGCTGTCACTGCCTGCTCTGCAGTGTACTTTCCCACCAGTGCTCATTAACAGGCTGAGAACTGTCATCTGCTTGGCTGTTTGCTGCTGGACTGTCTATCCTTCTGGGGCCAATCTTCAAAGCAGCTTGAAACCGGGTTATCAGGGCTGGGTAGGAAGACACCCCTCCTTCCCTTGGTTTACCTAACACAACCTATAGAAAAGCCCATGCCCTCTGTTAGCTAACATGCTCAGCAATGTTAAGCACTAAGTTGAGTTGCTTTCTGTTTTCATCCCATTTTTACTTAACCATCATTTTGTGTTTTTTGTTTTCTGTTTAGCCTTAAAGAAGAATAATATCACTAAATTTCCAAATGTTCACTCGAGGGTAAGGATTTCTTCTAGCACACCGGTGGTGGAGGATACACAGAGCTGGCAAGCATCACTTTTTACTTAGCTTCCTCCTTTCTATATGCAGTTCAGTGGTTTTTATTTATGGTGAAGGGTAATACTGGTGAGAATCTGACCAGTCTTTGTGCCTCACGTTAACGTGTGGCTTTTTCACATAGATGGCTTTCCCATTCTTTTATGATGGCTTAGCAAAATAGTTGATTGTACTTGCTTCTCTTAATCCTCTTTTTGGCCAAGTTAGTCAGTTAACTCTGGTTTTATCTGGATGGGTACAGTGGGTATTGGCCAGGGAAGATGATAGACAGATTTTGAAAGACTAAGGATTTTGCAAACAATTGATCTGAGGATCTCCAACCAGAGTAACTATGTACCTATGTTTTGGTTACAATGGAGAGGAATAGGGGAAGGGCCACAATTTGCAGTGATCTAGGAGCAAGAAGTTAACAAGCCTGCTGGAACAAACCCAAGAGGATAAGTCTGTCTTACTGAATGAACTTCTTTGATTTTGCCTTGTAGTAATGTTCACCAAGTATTGGTTTCTGTGTAAACTATCAACTTAAATATTAGATGCCTACTTTAAAAGAGTTTACATTTTTTTGTGAATGTAGAATGTTGTCTATCAATTTGCCCTTTAGTTTTTATTACAAAACTTGCTTTTTGTCACATCTTAACTCCATCAAAAGACTGTACATGCTAGACTCTGACTTATTCATGAAAGCATGCCTTCATACTAAGAGTACTCACCTAAAATTCATGTTACTTCATTTCATCCCACTAAAGTAATGCCTCCTTCAACTAGAACACACAAGTTTGACTTACTCCTTCACAACTTTCTTTTTAAATGCCAAGCATTCTGCCTTGCATTAGCAATAGACTTGCTCTAGGGCCCGTTTTCCCTGCTGATTGGAGCACAAACACAATAGGTGGCAGGAAAGACTTAGTGAGGGAATGAGGTATTACTTCCAATTCATAGAAAGCTGTCCTCAGCTACTGAAAGAAGTGCAAACAACAGAACCTTTTCCTGCAGTTTTTCCTGGCTTATTCTTGTTAAAACTACAAAGTCAAATGTTTGTTTTGTGAGTTTTGCAGTAAAATCATTGTAATCATTTTAATATTTAAGATTCTCAAGAAAAACAGCATTGAGAAAAATTTTGAAATACTTCAAATCTCAGAATCCTACCAGTATTACATCTTATTTTAATTGTAAATCTAAAGGCAAATAAATGTCTTTGGTTGAATGCTCAATGGGTTTGAAGGGCCCATTAGTTGACTCTCCACAAGCTGCTTTGACTGGCTGCCAACTGGCCTTTGTCTTGCTAAGACATACTTGAGGTTACTGGCTTTTAAATGGCATTTTCCTCTTTACAGATCTTAGAAACCAACCATATAGACGAGCCGATGCGGTGAGACGAAGTGTGAGGCGGCGAATTGATGATCAGAACTTGCGTTCTATTAATGGTGCAGAAATAACAATGTGACCTGGAGACTAGTCTTCATGAGAGGGTGCACGTGAAACTGCCGTGTGAACTTTTTGTGCTACCATTTAGCTGCAGCCTTCAATACAGAAAAATTTCCTTAAGGGCTCAGATTTAGTAAACGCATAGGAATTTAAAAATGTGTTCTCCTTTTAACCCCTGTTAACAAGTGCCTAAAATTGGAAGTAACTTGCTCAGATTAATCAAAGCAATAGAATTTGACTTAAGTCTTTTTACATCAGTATTCTACTCAGTTTTTTAACCAAAATGTAAATCTCATATTAAATTCATTATTTGCCATTGTGACTGTCCCTTATGGCCCACCCTGGTTTCTTGGCAATTTGTAAATAACTGGGATGTATCTACTATGGACTTCCTTTGCTGAGAAGTCTTCTAAGAAATTGTTTGCTCGAGCCATATTCTTCAACTGTATTTTTAAGGACTTGTAACAAGGGAGAAAGAAACTAGCACAGGATAATGTCTTTCTGTAATTAAGCCCCAGCAAAATACAAGATGCAACTACAGTGCCACTGGAAGTCAGACAGTCTCATGTTGTTTCTGTGCAAGGGTACCATGCACAAAGGCATTCACCTGTATGACTGCAAAATGGCATAAAAGATTGTATAAGACTTAACTGCAGAAACTGTTCTTAAGCTAGAGGCAGCTTTTAATAACATAAATATATTTGTTATTTAGCACTAAAATTAATTACCATTATGGGTCAGTCCTTAGAATAGAAATTGGTGCCTTGTTAGTCAGGGAGAACTTACCACAAGCTCTATCAGTAAGCATTCAAGATTACATGTGGTAGTGTAATGTTGGAACTTGGCCTTATTCTCTTCTGACAATCGAAGGGTCTTTTTCTTTCCTTTTGTAAACTGAAGTATACTGATACAGTTGACATTAAGTTATCAAGGCTGAATTGCTTCTGTATTTCTCACTTATGAGAATTTCCAGTTAGATTGGAGAAAATTAACATTTAAAGTTTAAATTATATTGATAGGGTTAAATGGTTAAGTCACTTATTTTTACTTCCTCACTGACAAGGCATTTTGATCCATTTCAGTCAAAGGCTGGACTGAAGCTAAATTTTCACTTCTCATCATATTCTACTTCTGGCTTACCTTGTTGGTACATCAGTATATTAACTGTAAAAATTATTGTATAGTATTTAACCACTGAATGTGTTCATGTTTACCCCTTGGTGAAGGTCCCCTTTTTTCATGGATGTGTAGTTATATGATCTTTTAAAATGTACAGATATTTTGCTATAAGATTGGTGCAGTTTTTTATGGTTTTTACACTTCTTTAATTCCCTGGGTAATCCTGTAAATATTGTTTAAAAATGCTCATCAGCCTATGCTACACAATCGGAATGTTACTTTAACTTATAGTTTTTTTTAAAAATATATATATTTAACTACGAGGACAGTTTAAGAGTCAGTTACCACCTTTCACAGTAGTAGACCTATTCACAGATCCCTTTTAAACTGCCACCCGCTGGCACATTCATAAATGTATGTTTAAAAAGAACATGCCAAGATTGTTGTCTTTTTGTTGAGTCAGCATCGGACATTTAATCAAACAAATCAGCTATTTTCCAAAGGTGTGTATTTGCTTAAAAAATTTCACTTCCCAGAACACAAACAGACAGTAATGTTGGCATATTCTTTTGTTTATTAATGGTCCTGCTTCTTAGCAATATTAGAAATGTTTTATAAAAGCAATTCATGTTACTTTTCTGGTCTTTTCATGCCATTTGAGCAAATAAACTATTTACACTACTATTCTGTCATATGCTGTAATCCTTTAATAATTTATGGTTATTTTACACACTTTAAAAGACAGCTTATTGTTTGAGAACCCAAAGGTAGAAAAGTTGCTTCCCCATGTGCTTTATAACTTAAAAAAAAAAAGTTGTATGCATGTCCAAGCTGAGAACATAGCCTCTCCTGCCTCACATATTCGGTGGTCAAAGGAACCTGGCTTAACCATACAACTCATTTAGATTATTTTCTGACCTTAACTATAGCAATAAAGTTCAAAGGAAGATTTGGTTATATTTAGTGGTTTTTATTTGTTGGGATCCAACACAGACCCTTGCATATGCTAGGTTCTACTACCAACTAACTCAGAAATTAAGTAAGCTTTCACCCAGTGTTCATGCAAAAACACACACACAAGTCAATTTAATGCCCTATGGCCCTCCTGAGTCAATTTCTACTAGGCACAGAATGTAACCTAATCTGACTCTGCTTTGGTGTTCAACATTTTGTAAAACTGGGCAATTTCTGCTGAATTACCAAAATTTACAATAGCAGATGAATACTTTTAGAATACTAGTCTATTCAGTATATGGTAAAATTCTGTGTCCCACACCCCCCAGGGTTTCTCTGTGTAGCCCTGGCTATCCTGGAACTTGCTCTGTAGACCAGGCTGGCCTCTGTCTCCTAAGTGCTGGGATTAAAGGTGTGTGCCACCACACCTGGCTTTCATTCTACTTTTTATTAGATATACAAATATAATTTATCAACACAAGATTCATTTTCCAACTCTTTAATTTTCATGAAAGATTTAAGAACACACGGATGAGGTTTGTGTTGATAGACTTTTCCGGAGGGTAAGGTCTAACTCTGTAAGTAAAGTACTCTACTGAGAAACAGGTTTGTGAGCACTTGAACCCACAGCCAAGAACTGCTATGGGCAGAGACTTAAAAGAAAAACGGCGACACAAATCCAACTTATTTAATAAAATATGCCATTTTTCTATTTACAAAAGATCTACTGTTAAAGCTACGAGGTTGTTTACAATCAAGAAAATATATGAACAAAAGTAAAAAGTCGGGTGATTACATAGAAAAGAGAAACCTTTTCCCAATTACTCACCTTTTGGAATAAGTCCTCTGTGCAGGTGTAGAGGAAGGCAAGAAGACTAATACCTACCCAAAATTTTAATAGTCAGGACCAAAAAAACAAACAAAAGGATATCAGTAACAAATAGATAATCTAGTAACAATCACAGAATAGTATTAAAAAAATGGCTTAGCTTGACTGTGATCTGCTCTCCATAGCCTAGTATGGGCTAGTCTGTTTCTCTCAAATGTAAACATTAATTGTACTAGTGTAATCACTGTCAGAGACCAATTACATGAGATGGCTTTGAATTGCAATCCACTCAATCTCAATTGTAGCTGTGAGTACAGCAGGTTTAGGGATAGCAACTTATTAAGAACTTAAATGGAGAGCAGCTAAGCAAATAATATGGCATCTTTCATTCTCACTCTGAAGTAAGCTCCTATAAATGGAATATGCTATCATGTTACCAGGACTCAGTCCCCTTTTAAAAAGTCAAAAATGTCTGCATCTTATAAGTCTGAATTTTATGTTCTCATTAAGCTTTGGACACTTCCCAGGTTATGGTCACTAGGCTTTTTTTTGATGAATTTTCAATGAGGCAGTAGTTCTGAGTTGTATGGTTTAATTGCAATGATGCCTGTTTGAGCCCTTTAATAGGGAAGATGGGATGCTATGGTGCTAGATGAGTACATGTGTCAAAAGATAGTTTACAAAATGTACACCTACTTGTTAAGTGTCTAATGTATGTCAGGTACAGTCCTAATCAACAGTGACATCAGAATACATGGAGGACTTAAACAGAATAGTCATTGTTAGTCTGGCATATGTTATCATCAGAAAACATAAAGTTTCTCATAGTTCAATGAAAAAATCACAGCAGTATTTTTTCACCCTTTTATAAGTAAATCAAGGGTAGTTTAACCTAGAGGAAGAAGGTGGGTTCAATTAATCTATCTGGTACTGAGAGATTCCTCAAAGGAAAACATATTTAAGGAATTGGTCTAGTATTTTCATTTCTATTAGATTGTTTTAAGAACTTAAAAAATTTTATTCAAGTTCGTATCTTTTTATGTTAAAATTCTATAATCTTAGAGCCATTCTTCATAACTCTTCCCTAAGTATTATCTGATTAGAATGTTTACATAAAATGTAAATTCATTTTTTCTCTTCTGGACAAAAAAACGTCTAATGAGCACTTACTCAACTTTTAGCACTGGAGTAAAAGCAGGAGTATTTAGCTAATGCTTATTAAAGTATGTAAATGAATGAAAGCATTACACTACCATCTGAAACTACATATCGTTCACAGAAAGAAACATATAGATTTCTTAGCTCTGTTACCACTCTAAATGGATTGCCCTACTCTAGGAAAATCCTTTTTCATCTCATAGGCATACAATACCAGGCTCCACTTAAAAAAAATCCAAAAGATGAAATAATTGTGACTATTCACTTACCAGAAGGCACAGAAAATTTTACATGTTGAAAAAATGTGAAATAATTGTGACTAGTCAATTATCAAACTTACCCCCAGAAGGCACAGAAAATTTTACATGTTGAAAAAAATAGTAACATCTTAAATAATGAAATCGATGGTCCTATCACATTATTTAGAGTCATTTGGGAAGACTGAAAGTAAACTTTATGTTGAATTGGTCATACTAAGTTCTCTTACAAATTTTCCCAACATAAAAGTGATGGAATAGGAGAAAATATCAAATATCTGAGGTCACAATTAAATATATTATCAAGCTTAATAATAGTGATGCTAAGAAAAAGATTTCAATATTAGAGTCCTAACTGAAATAGACATAGTAAATGCTTTCCCATTTGAATACATCAGATTCAACTCTAGAAGAACAAGTATTCAAAGATATATCAGCTTTTGCCAAACTGAAGATTTAGAAACAAGATCTACTGGATTTAAAATATTCAAAGATTTAGTGCCTTCACACTAATAATAGCTAATGTTTTTCTGATGGGATAATCAAGAGAAGACAATGGAATAGATTTGACTTACATGTTTTATAGCAAGGATATTACATTTCCAGTTTCCTACAGTAAAAATTCAATACACTGATATAAAACTTCTATTTAAATCAATAGGGTTCTGTTATGATATTGATCGTTCACAGTAACATTTACAAGAACTGCCTTTAAAAATCTGTTTAATCAAGATAATCACTTTAGTTTTTTGCTATGTCTGGTTTGCATAGGTTAACTGCAGGGATTTTGTAACTTATAATGTTTTATAGGGATCTGAAGATATGAAGAAATTATAAGAAATACAGAAATCTATTTTAAGGACATGCTAGAACACATCAATTATCTTTTTATTCAAATATATCAAAAATTTAAAGTTGTACTTTAAAAATCATCATTCATGGACTAAAACAGGTTTTACAGACTCTAAATACTCTTAGGAAACATTACTGGTTTAGCTCCCAATATCAAATGCATGATTTAAAGATTATCTCTGACTCTATGTCAAAGTGCTCAGACTCATTAGCAATCTTGACTATAGCTAAATTGGGACCTCTGAAAATTAAATTCAATGAAATTCTGTTGCCAAAGTTGTTAGGTATTTTAAGTAACATACAATGGTGGACTAATCTCAAGCAAGCAATTTGATTACTTAACATTTTCTCAAAGATAATGATCTTTTTCACAAAGTCATGTCTTATTTCACAACAGAAAATGACATGGCAGTGAGAAGTTTAGGAACAAATTATCTCCCTTTTCTGAGTTTTTAAACAGTGGCCACTAGATTTAATTAAAACACTGGACAGGATGGAAAAAACAGTTTACTAATCTGTTCTAACTCATTTAAAGGGCAATGAAACAATTTATGCTCTATCTAAATCTCAACTTTAAAGAGACAATCTCAGCAAGTCCAAATTAAAATAACAGAGATAATACCTAAGATGATACCGAAGGCTAAGTGCTAAATTATACTTAAAAAGCAAAAAAACACTTAAAAAAAAACCCTCCTGCACTGAAGGAAAATAGTGTAAGTTACATTACTAACCTGCAAAAGTTAGCATGTAAAAAGTATTCTATCTTTAAGCCATTGCCTTTCTAAAACATTCCATAGGAAATTTATAGGTGAAAACACATTTAAGGACCTCAAATGCACTGGTTTATGTTCATAAATAGTAATGTAGCTATCATGGGTAAGATGAAACAAAATTTCAGGGATTTATTATACTGTAAATGATCATACATTTCCTTAGAGCTGAGTAGTTTATGTAGAAATAAACACTAGCGCACACTACAAGAGAAGGTTTAATAATAGATAAAAATGTACAAAAATATTGAAATCAGAAATGCTTTAGACTGTGTACCATGGAGTCAATACTTCTCAGTGAGTAAGGAAGGCAATTTACAACCTCCTCAATGGAATAAAAAAAAAAGTGAAAGAGAAAGATTGGGTTAAAAATTCAAAGAAAATGTTTAAGTCAACATTGATTTCTTCCCCCTCCCCACAAGGATATTTCAACTATCACTCAAAAGTTCGGTGGCACATTCTTTAGTAGGTCCTTAAGGCAAGATATTTAAAGTAATTTACAATTTAATCTGGTGTTACCTATTTTAAAACATCACCTCAAAATAGATGCTCAAAATAATGCCCTTATAAGCCTTTAAAAAATGTATTCAGATGTTTCATAAAAAATAATGGTGGCTTTATTACAGCAGTGCTTATTAGCACCACTAGTTAAAGGTCCCCGCTAATTAAAGGTCTACCAGGTTTCCATCAAAAACACCTATTTCTTAAGAGCTCACCATAAAAGATTACATTGGCTTTAACCAGTTCAGTAGTGCACAAAAAAGCAGTCTTCACGTGGGTTGCTGGTGCTTTTTTTTGTACTACATTATCAAAAAAAATGTTCATTATATCTGCAAAATCCAACTTCTATAAAGTAAATCAAATCACCTCATGACTTAGAACAAAGGAGAGACGTCTGCAGCTATCAGTTAATTGCCACTTTTAATCCATCCTGCAGTGCCCTAGGAAAGGGTCACAGAAAGACAGTTATGATCGTAGGAAAATATGATTCTTGATACAGAATCAAGTTATTTTCAATTTCCTTTGCTTTTATAAAGTCCACAATAACAATACATAAATGCACTTTTTTTTCCTGTGACACAATTAAAACCCAGTGTTATTATGTAAAATGAACTTAAAATAATCCCTGGTCTGAATTAGACTTTAAATCATACTATAAACATATATTTGGTATAATTTATTGATCATCATCCAGTTGCTCCAAAAGGGTTCTTCTGCGCTTTTCTAATTCCCCTTCACTCAGTTCACTGCCAGAAGTGTCCCAGTTACCCTGAAAAGACATTCAGCATAATTACAGTTATAGTCAATTCTGAAAATGGTAAGAAAAACTTAACTATAAAGATTTCTAAGTAGACAGAGTTTCATTCACAGAAATACATTTCACAGGGTATTAGAACTTTTGCTTTGCTCCAAAGCACAGCAATGGGTTATTAAACATTCCTTGGATGTCAACAGAAAAAAAAAAAAAAAACGATCACGACTGGTATTTTGTATGTCATTACAACTTCAGTTTTATTAAAATATGTAATCAAGGACAAACTGTACATACTGGCTCCTTTCCTTATATACAAATAACTTAATGGCAGTCAGGTGCTCACTTCCTAGACAGTATGTTCTTTGTTAATTTTATAGAGATTTTAAAGTTTAAAACTTTAAAGTTCTCAATCATATACTCAAATAAGCAGACAAGATTTTAACTAAAAAAAAATATAATACTGCATCATCTATGAGATACAACCTTTGAAAAGTAGAATACACCTTTAAAATGGTTTGTTTAAACCACTGGTGCAAAAGAAATAAGTATAGAGGATGATTCACTCTTCACAGAGGTTGTGGATCAGAACGATTTACGAATTAAAAGACATGGGGTAGATATTATAGAAAAAGGAGTTGACTATGATCAAATTACAATGTAGAAAACTATAACAATAAAAAAGAATGCAAGAAAACAACAATAATTAATAGCCAAGAACTACAGACAACACTATGCCAATGGACCAGAATATACTGATACAATCTCTGATGACTCACAGGGAAACCCCTATTTATTTATTTATTTATTTATTTATTTATTTATTTATTTATTTATTTAAGGGATTGTCGAAACCAAGGAAGTTAATGGTATTGTATGCCCAGCCATCATTGTATAGGTGAGGAATTAACACTAGTGTAACTTGTTATTAAAATACACACTTCCTATTCCTGTGTCTATCACTCTCCACTGATCTCTATTAGCTGTTGGAATGCTACTTCTTGAGACCAGATTTATGAACAAGGATAACTAGAGAAACCTTGAATTGAGCCTTCTAAATTTTATAAGGGGAAGGCAAGGCACAGTTGTACACACTTCAATCTGAGCACTCAGCAGGCAGATCTCAGAGTTCCAAGACAACCAGGAATAAAGAGAAACCATGTCTCCCAAAAACAAAACCCTGGGCTGGAGAGATGGCTCAGCAGTTAAGAGCACACTGCCTGCTCTTCTAAAGGTCCTGAGTTCAAATCCCAGGAACCACATGGTGGCTCACAACCATTTGTAATGAGATCTGGTGCCCTCTTTTGGCCTACAGGAAGAACACTGTACACATAATAAATGAATAAATCTTAAACAAAACAATAATTTGAAAATTAAAGAATGCCTATGTATTTTTTAGTGGTACTACACCATTCAGACTGGGTTTTTCTTTCCAAGTTAAAGTGACAAATATTTTGTGCTGTTAACTTTTTTTGTTGTTAAGGAAAATAAATCTAAGAGATACAAACAGAAGGTCACTCGAGAGGAGCACTGAAGACAATTTAATTTTTTCTTCAATGTTAGAAGACCACAAACAAAACATCTATTCTTTCAACACCATCTGGTTTGAATCAAGGGCACCAATTTTTTTATTTTTATAAATGCAAGAAAGACACAATTCTAAGTACTTACAGAGTCCTTTCCAGTCTTTTTCTTAGGTGATTTGTGTTTTGACTCTGATCTCTGTCTACTTCTGTCTTTTTCACTTTCCCGATCTTTATCTTTTTTATCCTTCTCTCGTTCAGTATCTGATTCTGGAGAGTCCTATGTAAATAAAAACTAACATGTCAGAATTTTGATAATAATATTCTGTTAAAAATAAATTACTTACGCAGGTAGTATTTAAGAACATCATATTTACTAGGTTAGGTGTATTTAGAAAGGTAGTCTGTTAACCCCAGAACTTCATTTTGGTTTTAAGGATTTTTGAGACAGGGTATCTCTGCGCAGGCCTGGTTGTCCTGCAACTCGCTCTCTGGAGACCAATTTGGCCTCAAACTCGAGAGATCTGCTTACATCTGCCTCCCCAGTGCTAACTAAAGGTGTGTGCAACCACATCCCACTTTGAACCACAGGATTTGGCAGAAATTCTTCAATATTCACGAGAGAGGCAGAAACAGGGTTTCTTGTAAGGACACATCTAGATGAGTAAATCACCATTAAAAATTTCACTACCAGATTATGTCTATTGCCTAACTATAGAGATATATTACTTATTCTTCAGAATCCAGGGCCCCAAACACACACACACCACCTTCAATAAGCTACACCCTTAGCTCATAATATGCATTTTTTATCAAGTAAATTTAACTACGGTATATTAGATCCGTATAAGGATGCTACTAAGCTGCTCATCAAGGTTGACAGGGGCATAATTGTTCCTCAAATTATCACAGAGAAACAAGTTCTTAAAAATGTTATTGCTTAAATAAAATAGTTCTGGGTTAGACTGACAAGTATTAGTGGGCAGCATGAAAAAGAAAAAACAGAAAAAAAATCCAATCAATCTGTGGTAAGAGTCTCTCTGTCTCTCTCTGTCCTCCCCCCTTTTTAAAACTTAAAGACCAGAGTAGGAATCCTAACACTGGTATATGTTTTGTGTTTGAAGCTCCAAGTGATTTTATTGAAAGATTAAGCCAAAAGCCCTATACATTCTATATTTTGTTGCCAGCTGAAAGACTACATATAATTAGATTATGAGAAAGCCCTATGAATCCTTTCTAGTTCAAAGCCTTGGAGCTGTTAAAAAAATAAAAATTTTCTTACAGATTTATGTCTCCTCTTTTTGCTTTTCTTCTTATGTTTTTTTGATTTCTTATAACTTCTCTCTGCAGAGCATAGAAAGAAAAAAAAAGTCAGAATGTGGAAATCAAAATGTCATGGTTTAGTTAAGAAAAGTAGAAATACTCACCAGATTCAGCACTAGAAGAATGTTCTGATGCAGAATGTGACTCTGATCGCTGTCTTTTTTTCTTTGAATGGCTGTCATCATCATCTGAATCTGAACCCTAAATAATACACATAGATTCATTCATAATAATGCTCACAAATGTTTTGGTTTAGTGTGTCAGTCAATTCACTTCCTTACCGATCGAGAGCGGGAGCGTTTCCTATGGTGTTTTTTAGATTTCTTAGAATGCTTCTTGTTCTTTGAATGATGATGTTGACATTCATGCTAGAGTGGTAAAACAAAAACATTAAAGAACTGCCCTTGTTTTACATAGGCAATCACAAGGAAATTTTAACACATGGGACCTTAAAAGTAAAATCTTATTTAGGATGAGGTACTTCTTGTCAAAATGACAAAGACAAAGGTTGGTAGTGCCAAGTATCATACCTTAGAAAGGTATAACTTCTTTCCATAATGATTAGCCAGCAAATGCTTGAATGTATTATATCTAATCTGACGCTTTGGTTAGAAAGCTAAGGCAAGCACAGAGATAAAGTAAAACCTCACAGGCATCCTTAAATTGAAATTTAAAAAACCTATTCCTTTCTTTCATCCCAAGAAGTATTTCCTAATTATTCAGACAGGGAATGCTAATATAATTACAGGTTGTGTCTATAACACTGAACAATTTATTGTGGGCATGGTGAAGGTGCCTGCCACCAAGGCCAAGACCCAAGTTCTAGCCCCTAGTACCTGTTGGTAGCAAGAGAGAACTCCTGGATGTTAGACTCCCACATGCACTGTGACTTACACATGTGCACACACAATCATAAGATCTTTATGTGGCTACTTTGAAAGGAGAGGTTTTGCAGAAAAAATCTCCTTAAACCTAATGCTTATAAACATGGCCCAGAAAACACACAGATTTGGCCAAATAAATAACTAAGAAGGACTCCATCCTTATCTCACTGAATGCTGCCTCAAGGGCTATTTATCTAGCCTCAAAATCTGGAAGTGCTCAGCTCCTTTTAACGTTATCATCTTTAGTTTCATTTACTATACCTTATTACATTAGCTTTAGCTCATAATCATCAAAACCACACAGCTGTAGAGTGTAGAGTGCCTATACAGAAGCCAGATGAGGACATAGTATGTTCTTGTATTACCTTCAACCTTTCTCCTGAAACAGGTCTCTCACTACATCAGAAATACTGTTTTGACTAATCTGGCTGGCTCTTAAGCACTTAAGCTTTAGTTTTGGTCATTTCTTGTACAAGGGTTACAGGCACCCACAGCCATTCTTAGCTATTATATGGGTGCTGGGGATTTAAACTGTTTTTACTGCTTCTATAGAAAGCATTCTTCCCAGTGAACCAGCATCTCTTCAGCAGATTCTTGAATTAAGAAAAGACAGGTAATATGTTCTCTATTGTACACTGTCTCAAAAATTCCAAATACATTCAAATGCTTCAGAATCTGGGTTTAATTAAAATTCTGATACAAGATTTTTGTGGATGGAGCCTGAGTGTCTACATTTTTGTGAAGCTCCTAGGTAATACAAATGCTAATGGACTAAGGAACAGAGTAAAATAAACAACTAAAGGCCAACAAGGACCAGTCCATGGAGGCAGTTGGGAATCAATATGGAGACCCACATGGTTCATGGTAATAGAGAAAACAATTTGTTAATTTTGATATTAATCAAAAAAAAAACAAAGTCAAAGAAATAGATAATAATTATATTACTAATATGCTTAAATATCATGCCAATAGTACAATAAACAAGTGTTATTTTCTGGCTAGTTACAAATTATTAACTGCCTAGAACTGACTCCATAGTGAATTTTTAGAATTCACTATGTGGTATAACTTTATGTGTTGTCTCAAGTGGTGCAGGTGCACGTGTGTATGCTAACACACATGCAACAATATGTGTGCTTGAGGAAACAACACCTTTACACTGACTGCTTTTCACCTTATAGATGCAGGGTCTAGTTCACTGGAACCCAGAAATAGCAGATCCTGTTATTACAGCTAGTCATACCACTGGGATAACAGGCATTCTACCATGTCCCCCTGCATTTACACACACTGGGGACACATGAACTCCAGTCCTCACACTTGCAGGGCAAGGAGTTTGCCCATTCAATCCACGTTGAACTTTCTGAAAGCACTGAGTCAAAGAGGACAGGCAGTAATCCCTTTTCTGCCAAAGTTATTTGATATTGTCACTTTACTTATTTGTCAAAACAATGACTTACTGTGAGAATTATAGTTCATACATCTAATGTAATATAATGTTTGAAACAAACACATTTTTTTAGTTCATTTTCCAAGAAAACATGATATTCCAAGGCTCATTACTAGCTACCAGATGATTTATGTGGCTGAAAATGGCTGAACTTCTACAGCTATGAAATTAACAGCATTTCTCTGACACTAGTTTTAATAGCCTACACAAGCCTGTTTTTCACTTAAAGCATATACAGAAAACACACTCCATCAGAATTATAAAACAGCAGTGCATATTAAGAAATATACTTTGACAATTTAGAATTCAAAGTTTCACCTTTTATGTTACAACAAACTAATTACCTCAAGCACATGCATGAAATCTTTAAATATTCTTTTTCTTTCAGATTCTAGAGTTATATCCTCAAATGCTGGTTCTTTTACAAACCTCTCCCGGATCTGAAAAGCAACAGTAATAAAGTGAATATATTAACACCAAGAAAACAATATCGCCATGGCTAAACAGAATCTGAACTATGGATAAAGCTGTGTTAAGCTCTAAAGTGCATTTTTTTTCTTTTTTTCAAAAAATTCTAGCAGGGCAGAGACAGGTAGACTTGAGTTCAAGGCCAATCTGGCCTATACAGAGTCCTAAGATACAGCTGCTATACAGGCAAACCCTTTCCCCGGGTGGTGGTGGTGGTTCAAACAATTTTAAACTATTCCTAAATTCAAGTAACAGTTGAGTTTTTCCATACAGACATACTATGGCTTACTAATAATTTTAGTGTATTTATGTCCCCAAGAAACAAACTAGTGTTATTATCAACTGTGAACCACAGTGCCTATTATGGATAATTTTCAAGTATACATACATCTTCCCAGACAGCATCCAGCTCTATTGGAGGAGCAGCTTGTTTCAACATACTCTTAAATGCAGACTCTTTTCTTTTCATTTTCCGAGCTTCCTCCTTTTCTCTTTCACGTTCCCGGGCTTCTGCCTTTTCTAGTAACTAACAAAAAAAACGGTATGTAATAAGTTATGATAGTATAAGGCCTGTTTCAAATAATTCATTGTTCTGAAATGTAGTAGTGTCACTTATAAAAGGTAACAGCCAATCATCCTCATACATTTTCTATTTACTTTACGTTGTAAGTCCTATTCACAGTACTTTATTCCACTCACCAAAACTGTAAGTAATTCTTAGATGAATAATATGTGCTAGTTTTGAGTAATAATCAAACTTACACTATTGAAAGCCAACTTGATATTTCCAGCATCCAAAGTAGTTGATCTTTTTGTTGAACTGATTATTGCGACAAAATCTTCAAAGGTAGTATTTACTTCAACTACAAATCCTTTATCCTAAAAACCAGAAATCTTGTAAATAACACATAACTCCAAGGAATGGTTTGATGTTTTCCAAAAGGAAAGAAAATGTGTCATATTTACCTTCAGAATGTCTTTTATTATCTTCTTTTCATCATGATAACGTGCTTTAAGATCTTCAACATAAAACTTGAAAAGATCAAGTGCAGTTGATCCTAATGAAAAAACTAAAAAAGTCAAAAAGCTAGCTCTAACCAAGAGCTGCAATTACTTTTTGTTTGTAAAACAAACATAAAATAAAGCACACAACTCCCCTCCCAACCACCATCCCCCACCCACCAATCCATTCCAACTACCATCTTAGGTTTGGAAAGAAAAGAATCTCACCCGGCTGACCAAGCATATTAGTGAACCTAATATCAGAACTAATAGTTGGATACAGTTCCATCCAAGAGGACATAGAATGTAGTTGTCCATGCTCATGCAATTCATCTAAAAATATCTGTAAGAAAGGAAATAAATACATTTGAAAAGTCAATAGAATGATAACATAGACATACATTCATATAAAGAAATGTTAGCAATATCAAAAATGCTTCTCACAGTGTTAGCCAATATGTTTAGGTACAAAGAATATTTGCTATTTGATGGAGTAAAAATGCTTTTAGACCACAAATAAGTATAAACAAATCATCCAAAGAAAGGGATCTTTCAAACACTATACCACCCTGTTGGGAGATGTCATTCTGTAAAAATGTGTCTGACTGGTTTCAATAAAGCACTAACGACCAATAGGGAAGCAAGATAAGTGGGACTAGGAGTTGAGGAGGATTCTGGGAAAGAGAGACACAGGCAGACATGATGTAGCCACCTTAGGAGTAAGAGGTCTGGACCCTTTTCTCCGGTAAGAGAAATACTTAGATTAACAATTATGGGTTAAATACTTAAGTAGTCAGTGCTAGCCAGTAAAAAACAAGCAAACGGCCAGCAGCTTCATAATTAATATAGCGTCCTGTGTGTTATTTGGGGACTGCAACTGTGGAAAAGCCCAGGCGGCTGGCGGGGGAAAATCCAAAGCGCTGGCAAGAAAAAAACTACACTCTTCAGTATTCTTCTAGTCTTTAGTTGCTTAAATGACTGGAACTATCTATTCTCAAATGATGTGCATAAAGAATGAATAGGTGTATGTGTTGTAAAATATACTTTTTGTTTTTAAATAGTACCATCAGATATTTCAAATTTGATTAATTCAACAAAAAAAAATCACAAAAACCTGTGGCAATTAAAGGGATGGCTTTGTGGTTAGAGGCAGTTGCAGCACATGCAGAGGCCCAGGTTCTGTTCCTAATACCTACATGGTGACTCAAAATCACCCCAGTTCCAGGGGATCTGGAAATCAGGCAAGTAGATGCTGCAAACACACATGCAGGCAACATGCTCATGTACATAAAATAAATCTAAAAATAGCCATAAAGAATAAATTACCTTTCTTAATGCATTTAAACTCCCACATAGGTGCTTAATTATGATACACACCTAAACTGTACTACAGTTTATACATGGGAACCATATATAAACTCCTACAAAGTACATCCTATATCTTGTTTCCACTCAGTCCTCATGCTAATTTTTGTAAGCTAATCCCTTATGCTCAAGTTAAATAATGCTTGCTGCAGCCTGCTTTAGCCCCTTGCCTCAAATATCCAAGAACAAAATCTAAAATATAGATTCAACATATATGGTCCAAAAACAAAGCCTATGTAGTGAACTGGAAACAAGCATCTCAAAACGGTTTTGACCCTTGTTGAAGTTAAACGACTGTATTACAGAACTACACCAGAAACAGCATTTTTAATTACCTGAAAAGATTCCCTATTTTTACGCTGCCGTCTCCTTTCTCTCAATAAAGTCTTCTGTTTTTCTTCTTCCTCTTCCTTTTCTAAAGCCCGGATATGTTCCTCAAAGCATATTAATGCATCTTCTTTATCCATGTCTGAAGCATTTTTTAGACAAAAAAAAAAAAAAAAAAAAGAACATTAACATAGAAAGCAGTTTCATAGAACATTTTACAAACTTCAAATTCAGTGCTCAAAAAATGCTTGTATTTAAATTCAAACATGATCTTGTAATGACACAAGTTTTGAGAAAGACCTCAAATTCTAGAGAATAAAGGCAACAACACATACACACATGCACATGACAACGTGAACTAGCTAATAGTGCAATGCTATGTTAATCCCAAAGAGATATTCATTACTCTATTGATAAAAATGTATTAGTTTTGTGTACATATTGTTCATCACATTCATCACTGACCTCTTCATGGAAATACACTCCACTTATACAGTTAACTCTGTCTTCCCCATCTCCCCACACTTATTTTAAAACCAACAAAAAAAATTTCTTGGACATACGGTCTTGCACTTGAGAGTGGTCGATTTATCAGGAGCTGTATTTGAGAAAACTGTCTCCCTTTCCAGCAGTCATCAGTTGCTAAAGCTCTATAGCTAAGGGTAGGATTTTGTAGCAACTCCAACTCCATGCTGGGATTTGGCTTTCAGATGTTTGACTGCTGTTGCAGTCATTGTTGTGTTTAGAAGACACCAGTGATCTAGAAATGGTGGACTTATTATATATTCCAAGAATTATCTGTTAAAGGTTAACAGAGATCTCTAGAAAAGTATTCTTTTCCTAAATCAAAATTTAATTAGAAACTCTTGAAAATAAAGTATTTTTTTCTCAGAAATACAAATCATTTTGTACAATTTGAGGTAACAACTGCATAAAGAGCAATTCCTCTAATTTCATACGGAAAGTGAGAATAACTTTGTGACTCAAGGGGCACTACTTGTCATTATTTTTCTTATGTAGTGATTGTTCTTACTCTGTAACTCTTCATCCTCTGCAAACGTTGGATTATCCATTAGATACTGTTGGGCTTCAGACCAAGTAGTAGAGTATGTAACATTAGCCATATTGTCAAGTATGTTTTTTAAGGCTTCCCAATTTCTCTTTCGTAACTGCTTTGCTTGTTCCTACAACAAATATTTGAAAATGTTTTTAACACTCAAACAAGATATCTGAATTACAATTACTTAAGATTCCTTTATATTCTAATTGATAAATGTCCAATGATATTATGTACCAAGACCCTTCATTTTATTACTTTTTTTTCCAAATGTGTGGCAAAGTCCTTACCTTCAGTTTTTTCATCTTTTTTTGAAGTCAGAATCCAAAAACCTTATATTGTTTGGTATCCTCATTTCATAAACCCAGGTCTTACCAGTATGCAAACACCAAGGCATTCATTGATACTCAACTATGTTTATTTTTTAGTAATATTTGCATGTTCATCTATGTATCTTTCAGTAATAGATGCAAAACTATTTAACAGAGATAAATATTTGAGTAATTCATTACCCACTGTGATTTAAACAGTAATAACATGTTTGACAAACAGGAAAAAAATGTAAGAGTTACTCATTTTATCTTTTAACACAGCTTCCAATGAATAGATATGATGTTCAATATACGCTAAAGAAATTAAGCAAAGAAACTGATGTTATAATTTTTACTCATTTGTAATATCTTAATCAGAATGTTGAAATATCAGTAATTTAAAATGTACCTTTTCTTTTTTTGAAAGGAAGAACAAAACATCTTCATAGATTTCAAGACGATCACGCTCTGATATAGCATTCCAAACTTCCATCTCCCCAAACACTTGTTCAGCTTTTCTAGTGATTATGAAATCAAGTGTTACTTGCTTAAAGCATCAGTACAATGTTAGATTTTTTTTAAGGCAGTCAACACTCTCTCCAATTTAAGTTTACAAATACATTACTCAGGAAAAGTTTATGACAGTCAATAAAATATTAACAGAAGAGCAAAAGCCTCTATTTTCTCTTAGGACAATTCACATGAGGTAATGCTTTGCAATGTAAACAGCCCCTTTCCTCCCAAGTCACCTTCTGTAGACTATAAAACAGTAACAGCTAATGTACTATGTCTATTACCTAAGTAATACCTTAAGTGAGCTTATAGGTTACTGATTTTTTGGCAATCTTATAAAACTGCCACACACTCATTTACACAGGTATTTTTATGACCATCTATTTTAGATGAGTTAGCAAGAAGTATGACAGAAAAACAGGGTGAACATTGCCTCCATCATTAAAAACCTTACTTGTATCTGGTTGTGGAAGTCATTTTCTCGTGATTCTCAAGAAAACGCTGAAAGGATTCCTTAGCTTCTTTGTATTTTGATCTTGCTTCTTCTTTTTCCTCTTTCTCAGTCTGGACTTTATAGGCATTAAAGGCCTGCTTTTTCTCACTTAGCTTTGCTAAAGCACTAAATAATAGAAAGTATCAGACAGGAATAAATATAAAGGCTGGAGAATAAAATGTTAGTGCTTTAGAAAAAAGTCTGACATATATATTAGGAAAATGTCTGTAATTTATTGAAGATATAAAACTATTCTAAACAGAAAATTCTAGTGTTTAATGATTATAATTACATTTGGAGCAAGGTGCCCAAATTGTAGGACAAGCCTTTTGGATTTCTGGCTATAGCACACATAAAATAACCTCTATTTAAACTAATTACATAGCTATGAACAGTTGCTGTTTTATAGAGTTAAACTGTTGAATTTTAAATGTCCCAAGATTAACGTAAAGTTAATTCAAAAGTCATTGTATTACCTGTACCGAGGATCATTAATAATCATTTTCATAGCTTGCTCCCATGAAGCATTGGAGGGTACCCGCTGAAAATTATTTAAAGGAAAAATTAAAATTTTATACAAGAGAGAATGGTTATCATAGGAAAGCAAGTTTAACACTCATTGCAAATATCAAGCACCTCCCTTTGTAGATTTTTTTACAGTCTAAAGCCATTTTCAAGGAAGCAAATGTGTAATATACACTTATTGAATAAAAAGAAAATTCATACTTAAGTTGAAAGAGTATTTTTTGCATTAGATCACAAGCAATAATTTAAATAAAAAATCTTATACATCAAGGCAAAAATATGATTGTGAATAATACCTTGTTGAGTTTCCAAAAGCATTCTTCAACAAAAACACAACAAATTTAGTTTGCTTTCAGTTACAACAGTTCAAGAAATTAGTATTTTAAATAAAGGCATGAAAGTGAACACTTATTAGGAAATTATTATGTGTTACTTAAAAAGTCTATAATACCTTTTCTTTCAATAATTCTTTAAATGCTTGCTTTGCTTCCTCCTTTGTATTCCAAGTATATGTTTTTTTTGCTGGTTGGTTTTCTTCCTCTTCTTTTTTAGGAGTAAAACTAGAGAGAGAGAAATTTAAACATGCTATTCATAATTTCAGGAACTATTTTCTGCTTAGACAATCACTTAACTGATGCTGACCTAAAACTTGACAATTTTCAGAGAAAGTTTCTTATATGAACCCTGAAAATATAACTGTCTGAAGACGGGACATAAAGTTACCAACATAAGGCCCTGTAAATAGGCCAAACTATAACAGGGTATTGTACTACTTGGTAGTATCACTAGTTCACAGGTTAATACATGGCTTATTATATTTATCCAGACGTTTCATATTAGTGCTCTAATGTGCATTCCTTAGTGTATATATACTAAGGATGTATAGAATATCAAATGATTGATTAGCAAAATTCAGTTTAGTTAATTTTATAAACATTAATAGAATACAGCAATCAGCTAATTCCATATGTTCTTTTTGGCTGATTTTATACTATGGCAGGAACACCAAGTTACTGTTTAACCAAGATATCAAATAAATAGTATTTGACAAGTTGTGGAAAAGACTGCTAAATTCTGATTTCAAAAATAATTAATATAATACTGAAACATCAACTATTTTCTTGGGATCCACTGAATTGAAAAAAATTTAGTTCAACTGATGGAAATAGAACAGCAATATATACTGATATAAGGATGTAATAATATGTAAGTAACATATATAGTTCTTATAAGTGCCTTACAAAGAACGTAATTGAAATTACTAAAAAATTATAACTCATGAATTACACCAGGATGCTCTTAAGGAAAAAACCTTTCTAAAACTATGAAAAATAAACTGGCCTTCCACATTCATACAAAAGAATTAAAATAATCATAAAACATATCTGTGACAAACAGAAATCTGTCATCATAATTTGTGTAGTAACTTGATACTGTAACAAATTATATTGGATCAAACATTAAAACTAATAGTAATACGAGGAATTGCACGAATTACATGTAATTATCATACCAAGTTACATAAGTTATTTTGAGCATCTCAGTATTTTGGTGTTCAAAAAGTTCAAGCACAAAATGTGGAATGATATTCCCAAAACTTACATCATATGATATCATCATTTGACCTTTATGGATACAGAAAAACATATCTGATACATATACATGTACATACATTTGCACACATGTGCACACACACAGACACAATGCTTAAATATATGTATAGCTAAGGTCAGAAGAGTAAAAGAAAATGAGACCTTTACTCTTAATTGCCTCCAAATGTATTATTTTGTTTCTTTGTAAATATCTCAATATAAAAACACTGTACAGGTATTTGTGAAATTAACACGAGACAGAATACTGATGGTAAGGAGTAGAGATGGAGGCAGCATGACTAAATATTAACTGGATAATAAATGTTTAGTCAGACTTTTCATTCATTTGTACCTTTTTTGTGTATCTTGCAATAGTCACTGAGTTAGTTTCTTTTTGTGACTCCTCTATAAAGTGCCTTCTCTTATCTGAGACATACTTCAACAAAACTGTTCTTATTTTCCAATTTATTTACAATAAGCTGAAAACCAGATACCACCAATAAACAAAAAGGAATGGAATCAAGTTTAATTCTGCTCTATTTGGCAGAGCTTCTCACCTTCCAAAATACATTTATGTCAACAGCAATCTACAGTACTTCTTGGAAGTTCTGACTGAGCACACAGAACAGAGAATGAAAACAGACATACCCCTCCAAAGAATAAACCAACCAGGGGTGACACAAAGCCTTTATTTAAAATACTGGAAGTTTGCAAACTGATTTTTTTTTCCTTTTTGCCTTGATTTTGATTTCATTGACTAAATTAACAAGTTCTTATAGTTTAAGTCAGGAATTGACTTTCATAAGTCGAATTACTAAACTTACTCGGTTACAGTTTCTTGTTTAGTTGGTTCCTCTCCAGTGTTACTAGATATGTCACCACTTAGATCTTGAATAGCTGTGGCATTAGCAATTTGTGCTTGTTCTTCATTGGATATAGTTACTGTATTTTCATTATCTACAACAGTAGCAACAATGGAAGTAACTTCAGGCTCAGGAGCAACGGGAACACTTCCCACAGTATTAGTAGGAGTAGTGGAAGTATTGGCATTAGCAGCTGCTGCGGCAGCTGCAGCAGCTGCAACAACAGCAGCCGCTGCTTCTGCCGCAGCCATGGTGCTCATAGTGGTAGGAATTTCTGTTGCAGGAACTGGGGCTGTTGATGCTGTAGTACATTCTTCTTGCTTGCTATACAGTAAAAGAGAGAGAAACAGAGGGAAGAAAAGAAGGAGTAAGTGGGATAGAAGTGGGGAGGAGAGAGAAAGACCCGGTCATTTCAATACTGTAACAGTAAAAGTAAAGTCAATTTTAAAATAGTAACACTAATGAAATAATCAGAGGGATGACAGAATCACACAAACAGATCACAGAGTAAGATATTAATTTTATGTTTGCTCTAGAGAACATCTTGCCATATTGCCTATGCTGGGCTCAGGCAATACTGTGATCTTAGCCTCTCTGAGTAGAATTGGAATTACTGTTATGCTATCACTTCCAGCTACTACCATTATTTGATTTAGCAAACCCATACAGTGACATGAAAAAAGCACTGCTATCAATGACTAGTTTCCTAATATCAAAAATTTTCAAGAAAATCTCAATCTCTTACTTGACATGTATCAAAAATTCTCCTAAGAACTTTAAATGACTCAGTGGTTGGGAGTGCTAGCTGTTGTTCCAAAGGACCTGGATTCATTTCCCAGCAGCCACATGGCAGCTCACAACTGTAACTCCAATTCCAGGGGACCTGACACCCTTACATTGACATACATGCAAACGAAACAACAATGCACATGAAATAAAATTATTTTTTTAAAAAGAACTTTAAATCTGCATTTCAATAATTAAATGAAAACTTGGGCTGGGATGTATAGCTTAGTACTTGAGTGCTAACAAGTGCAAAACCATGGGTCTACACCTCAAGAACACAAAAAGAGAATTTAGTGGTTACATATATATAATGTCACTCATTCTCAAGTCATGAAACTTCTTAATTGATGAACCATGCATTCCACATTAAAGCACTTACTTGTCAAGCAAAGCAAACTTGAGTTAAATCTACCCCCAAACCCCACAAAGATCTTCCAAAGACATTAGCCTAATCCTATTAAATAGCATTCATATTTTATTTAAATGTGGACAACTATAACAAGAATGCTATGGAAATGGCAAAATTTGTAATCACTACTGACTTTTAAAATTGCTTACCTGCTTTCCTCAGCTTTGATCATAGCTGTTAAAGAAAACAGAAGTCATCAACTAGTTTTTAAATATAACCACTGAATTCAAACTCTAAAAGAAGAAAGTATCATAATTCGATAGGATTTAATTTACCATCTGAAAACAATCTAAAACTCAATTTAAAGGGCAAGTGTTGCCCTAGTTTCATCAAAGCCTCACTACAACAATGAAAAACTTGACAACAGCAACTGTTTAGCGATCTTTTCCAATGCTGGTGTTTCCAAGGGTTAATAGCCTTGAAAATATTCATAATTTTGGAATACAAAAGTATCATCTCTAGGAATGAGACTATTTTTTTAAAGGCAAAAATTTAAATTGGTATTAAACTCATGAAACTCCAGCCAATTTTCCATACTAGCACTGATAAGCAGATAAGCAGCTATGCAAACCTACAATTTGTAGTCATATCAGAAATGAGCTTTTTCCTCCGTAAGTGAGCAATTTGGGATAACATTATTATTAGCTCATGCTCTGAAACGTTAGATAGAGCTATTGAAGATTTGAGCACTCAATATTTAATTTCATTCTAGGCTCAGATAAACTCTAAATTTGGTTATAAAATAGGTAACTTTAATTTATCACTAGGGAATGAGGTGCTCCATGTAAGCAATGATATAAGCTTAAGTTAACTATTTTAAAAACTTATCACCCATTCAAGAAAAGTATTTCTAAAAGTCTATTAAAATGTGAGGAAAAACCCACATAACCATTTGCTTAGCTAATCTAGAACAGTTACTGATAAAAGATTACATTTTAAGGAGAGTAAAGTAACTTGATTCTTATTGACAATGTCTGCTATTTTATGTCCTGAGTATTATGTTCAATAACAATCTTTTTTAGATTTTCAAAGGTACTGCGTAGTTGATGATGTTGACAACCTATCCTTTCCTAAATGAAGTATTTATTTTCCTTAACTTTTAGATGAAAAACATATTAATACTAATTTTCATGATAACTAAAAAAAATCAGTATTAAGTGGTCTGATAATACATGAAAAGAATAACTGATATTAAAGATCAGCTACCATTCACTATCATTAAGCTTAGTCACATATCCCATGTATGCACCAACATTCAGAAGGAGTTTGTGAACTTGTTCAACATTCATATTTATTTAAAATATCAAAGTAAAGTTTAAAAACTGTAAGCTCATTTATAATATAACTCTTAAGTAAAAGTGATTCTTTGAATTAATGTCTTTCACTGCAGATTTATCCATTGAAGGTTAGTGAAAATTAGTGACATACTTAAATGTTAAATATAACAGAAAATGAATTATCAAAGCAGCTCACCATGCAGGTTTGATTTTGTAATAAGACCTCCAGCAACAATGGTATTCTGGTATCCTAGTTTCAATGGAATCAAATCAAATAAAGTCTATTTAAAATCTATAGAACTGAGATCTAGAGCAACAAGAAAATAAAAAGCCCATAAAACTGTTACATCATTTAAAATGTGCAGATAATTTAATAAAAAAGAAAAAGAAAAGAATAACGCCTTAATTTGAAATCACCCTATTCAGGGAAGACTGTTTCCAGTTCTTGCGCATAGGCAACAATTTCCCAGTAGAATTGTTTTTTCTGTCTTACCTTCAAGATCCTCAAGTTCCTTGGGTTTGGCCCAGCGGGACTCTTTCGTTTGAGAATTATAGTAATAAGGCTTCCCAGAATCAGATTTGTACTCTTTCCATGGGCATTTAGACAAGAGTTGCTAAAAAAGGGAAAACGTTCAGCAAACAATAACATTGAGCACTGCTGGCCATCCATACCTATTTTTCACTAGATATTGTCTCCCTGTGTAATGCCAAATGCCAAGGTTGTCAATTACTGAATATACCATTTAAACTTTATAACACTACAGAATTTAGAATCTTCTCAATTAACCAATATTACTTGAAGAAAAAGTAACGGTCAAAGGTAAGATACTCAAAGGTATGCTTCAAATCTAGGCAAATCTACATGAAATTGCAATATATGTGCTTTCCCATTTCACCATAGGTTAAAAACTGCCATCTCTAATTACTGAATGGAGTGTTCATATATTAATACAAATAAGAGAAACAGAAAATTTGGGTAAAAAATATAATCTGATTCATCCACGCTAATGTTTTAGTTTTGTGGCCAATAATTTACTACTACCTTATATGAACTATGTATGTGAGGAATGTGAAGAAATAAAATTTATGACAAAACCAGTACATAAAGCTAATGAACAGGAGAGCAATCTTAAGTGCCTCTATATCACAGTGTCTGGGGGCTAGAGAGATGGCTCAGAGTTTAAATGCCCTGGCTGTTCTTCCAGAGGTTCTGAATTCAATTCCCAGCAACCACATGGTGGCTCACAACCATCTATAATAAGATCTGGTGCCCTCTTCTGCTGTGAAGGCAAAACACTGCACACATAACAAATAAATCTTAAAAAAAAAAAACCCTCAGTATCTGTGTGAGCATGTGTGCATTTGAACGAGAAATAAACAAAGAACTGTTATCTACTAACCTTCCTTCTTAAACACTGTATACATATTAAATTACTTGGGGGGGTGCATAGCAAATACACTTACTGTCGACAATTAAACATATGCAATATTGCTTGCATAATTTAGTGCTTCAACCTTGACTGTCATATTTTATCTATTTTGAATGGTGAAATGTGTAACACAAAATAAATACCCTTTCAGAGGCATTTTTACAAGTGAGAAAGTAATCTACTCTAAGACATAGGCAATTTAATTGCATTACATCAAACCCCACAGGTAACTGGAACTATTTGCATCATTTTTAAAATCACACAGATCATACTACATTGAGGAAAATTACGTTTGCCCTTCAATTTATTCTTTAAGAAACCTTTATATACAGGACAATAGTAAATTGAAAGTCTTTATTAACTTTTCTGTTAAATAAGAACTGCCCTTTGATAGCTTAATGTAAAATTCTAAGGAATGTACCCATACTACTTAATCGTCCTGATTTTCAGTCTTCAGATATTACCTCAGCAGGTGTTTTAAGATCATCTGGTTTTTCCCAGGTAGACTGTTTTGTTTCAGTATTATAATAGTAAGTCCTTCCATCAGGTGATTTATGTTCAGTCCACATTGATTTCTAAAGAAAAAAAAATTACTTAAGTGTAAACTATCCAACAGTAAATACTCATTTTATGAATTACAAGGTAGAAAGCTTATGAAACACCAGATTTAAGTATAAAATGACTGTAGTATTTTAACAATTCAAATCACCTAAAATAATTTGTTAATGCAAGTAGAGAAGGAACTGGAAAACAACATTTAAAAATAGTTCAAAGGTAGCATGGGTCAATTAAGGTTTTAGGACTTGTGATTATATGTTTATGATCTAATAGTCACTGAAGATAAGACAAGCAAAGCAGCCAGCCAGTAGCTCTTACATCTACCAAGGTGAAACAGAGATCCTATCTTCCCTAGGACTGGAAACTAAATTTCACATGAGACCCTTTGCTTCTTCCCTATATATCTGTTAAAGGTAGGTGTGAGCTCTGTTACTCTTTTAGACTGATTCACTCTCATGCAGCCTAGGGTGGCCTTGGACTCAAAAGAACATCTTAAAATCTACTTGTTTTTGGGCTGGAGAGATGGCTCAGCAGTTAAGAGCACTGGCTGCTCTTCCAGAGATCCTGAGTTCAATTTCCAGCAACCACATGGTGGCTCACAACCATTTATAGTGAAATCTTGTACCCTCTTCTGAAGAGCAGGTGTACATGCAGGCAGAACACTGTTTACAAACATAACAAATAAATCTTGGTGTAAGACAACCCTCCAGCAATATAAATCTACCCTAGTGGACAAACTACACAAACTAAAGTATATAAATCAGGCATATATTTAGTCTAATTAAAAAATAAACAAGTACTTGAACAATTTTCTAAATTGATTCCCCATAAAAAGTTTGTCAAACTGGGAGAAGTAAAAACAGTTTATTCCAAAAACGAGAAAGATGAAGGAGGGGGGGCTGAATCCAAGCATTTTGAAACAAAAGTGAGATTTTCATGTGAAACTAAATATAAATCTACTACTAATGAAAAATCCAAACAAACTGAAAAGATTGTTAAAATTTGAAAATGAAGGCTCAGGCATTATATTTGAATTGTTTTGAGTTATAAGTTGGTTTTTTTCTTGGCATCAACTTTTCTATATGGGAACAAATTTAACCATATTTGACTAAGGGCCACAGAGATGATCTACACTCTATTTTTGCATATAGATTACATATCACTAAGTAGAAACAAAACACAATTGGTATCACCTACTTGTTCAACACTAAGATTTTATTTTAACCTTGACAAATCTATTAAGACCGACTTTTATCTGCATCACTTCTGTGCTTGCTAAAAAGAGAAACAAAGTTGTTATAAAACTCCTTAAATTTCCTCACAATAAAGCCACTACAGCATCAATAACACTGGTGGCATTTCTTAAAAAAAAAAAAGGAAAAAAAAAAACAAAACCAATGTAAGTGAGGAATGAGCCTCATCATCTGTGTATTGCCATGGAGACAGACATCTGAGCACATAATCTGCTCATTTTTTAGCCTTCAAAGACACAACCTATTGCTGCTAAGTCCAGTATCACTAATTTTTTGTGGTTTCATTCTTAGTTTTCTTTGGTTAATTGGTAACATACTTTTTAATCATGAGACTATGACTGGACACACAAAATCGCACAAGTTCATGCCTGACGAAATTACAGCAAGAGAACAGGAGTTGAATATACAATACCACCCCTAACCAAGAAGCTCTATAGAATTGGTATCTGCTAGAATAGGGGGGAAAAACTTTTCTTTTTTGCTTTTTCGACACAGGAACTTGCTTTGTAGACCAAGCTAGCCTTGAACTCACAGAGAGCCACCTGCCTCTGCCTCCTGAATGCTGTGGTTAAAGGCATGTGCCACCACACTTGAATAAAAGTCCAATTTCTTAAGGAGTGTGTCACTGCGTACAACAATCACACTTCAAAGAAGTTTTGTTTTGGTATTTTTTCCCATTATTAGTTTTGTTTGCCTTTTTGTTGTTGTTTGCTTAAAAAAGAACACAAAATTGGATGGATATATATGGAGGTTGGAACAGAGAGGAAGTGGAGAAAGGGAATGAATATGACCAAAAATATATTGTATGGGGGCTGGAGATATGGCTCAGTGGTTAAAAGCTGCTCTTCCAGAGGTCCTGAGTTCAATTTTCAGCAACTACATGGTGGCTTACGAACATCCGTAACGAGATCTGGTGCCCTCTTCTGACCTGCAAGTTACATGCAGGCAGAACACTGTATACATAATAAATAAACCTTTAAAAATATATTGTATGAAAATATTAGTTTTAAATAAGAAGTGGGAAGACATATAAAATCTAAGCAGAGATCCATCTTGATACAAAGAAACACAGGAAATACATGTGACACCCCGAACTTTATGACTTTTTAATACCTGAATCCAATGACTGAGATACTAAACAACAATTCAATCTAATTATTAAAAGGCTCAATGTACTGGGCATGGAGCCTTTTATTTGTAATCCTAGTATATGCGAGGAAAAGGATCACACTAGTTCAAAGCCAGCCTGATCTACATGGTGAGTTGTAGGCTATTGGAGCTTACCCCCAAAGTAAGATTAATCAATGACCTTAAAGAGAAATTAAAGAAGTCATCTGACGACTGGTAAGAATTTCAACAAAGAGAGATTCTGGGAAAAAAAAGAAAAATGGAAATCTTGCAAAGACTTATAAATCAAATGAAAGATAATGGAAAGCTACAGCAGATTGAAAAAAAGACTACCAAAGAATGTCAGAAATTAGTAAATTCAGACATCAATAAATAGCAACAACAAAACTCAAAGGTAATTGTTACAACATTCAAGCCTGAGACACCAAAACTAACAATCTGTAGTACAGAAAACTGAACCAAAATTACAGATGAAGGCATAGCAAAATCATTCAATAAACGTACAACAGAAGATTGAGGCAAAGAAAGGACAAGAATTATCAGACAATAACTTGCTTCAAGTCACATCAGCTAAAATGCCAACAGTATAGAACAAGAAAATTCTTAAAAAGCAGCAATAGGGAGGGAGAAGGTGGAGAGAGGAACAGGAGGCCTGAGACAGGGGAGGAATAGAGGAGGGCAAGAAAGGAGATGGCTTGATAAAGGGAGCCAGTACAGGTTTGGAGAGAGGTCTGGCATATAGAAAATGGTAGGGGATCCACAGGGATAACCCCAACTAAGAATCTAGGCAGGGATGGAGAGGCTTGCCTTTGATGCCCTTCCCTTATAATGAGATTGGTTACCATTCCTAGAGCCTTGACCCAGTAGCTGATCAAAGCAGAAACAGGTACCCACATCTACACACTGAGCCATACTCCCAGAATCCAGTTGCGTTGAGGAAGGAGGGATGAGCAAATGAACCATGGCAGTGCTGGAGACACCCAAAGAAACAGTTGACCTGACCTAATGAGAGCATGCAGACCCTAGTCGTAAAGCGGAGGAACCAGCATTGAACCAAACCAAGCCCTCTGAATGTGGGTGCCAGCTAGGAGGCCAAGGCAGTCTATAGAACCTTTAACATGGAGCCAGTGTTTATTCATAGGTCACAAGTGGACTTTGGGAGCCCATTCTCTATGGAGGGATTCTATTGCAGCCCAGATACAGAAAGGAGAGCCTAGGCCCTCCCCCAAATGATGTGATGGACTTTGATGATTCCCCCATGGAGGGCCTCACTATCCCTGGGAAGTGGGTGGGAAGCATGGGAGGGGGAGGGAATGGGTTGATGGATATGTAAATAAGAGTGCTTCTAAAAAAAAAACAGCAATAAAGGTATGTAAGAAAAGGAAATTCATCTGAATAATAGCAGACCTACAATACACTGAAAATAAAACCAGTACCTACATTCTGGGTACATGAATGAAAGAAAACAAAAACAACCTTATGACATCATGTTGTTGGAAAACCAATAATACAAACCTCAAATCGATGTAATGGAATAAAAAGGAGGTAAAAATACACAGAGACAGGCCGGGCATTGGTGGCGCACACCTTTAATCCCAGCACTCGGGAGGAAGAGGCAGGCGGATCTCTGTGAGTTCGAGGCCAGCCTGGTCTACTGAGCGAGTTCCAGGACAGCCTCCAAAACAATACAGAGAAACCCTGTCTTGAAAAAACCAAAAAAAAAAAAAAAAACCAGAGACTAATGCTACAACACTAGGTATCAATCAATCAATCAATCAATGAAGAAAATAGCTAGATCTTTAAAGAGTGACAATACAAAACCAGGAAGAATACCCAAATTCTAATCAGAAGTAAAATGGAAATGTTATATAATAAATAATACTGAAATCCAGTGGAATATGTCACTGTTGAATTCCACCAGGACTTTAAAGAGCTAATACTAACACTCCTAAAACTATTTTACAAAGAAATGTTTCCAAATTTATCTTACAAAGTCAGTATTGTTCCAACTCCAAAATTATAAAAAGATAAAACATAAAAGAAAACAATAGCTGGGCGCTATCAAAATCAACCAGACCCTTAAGTTTTAGAGATGCATACTGGATTTTATACTTTCAATATCAAATTTCAATGTATTCACCACCAACTCCCCATCAAATCCAAGACAAAGTCAGAACTAGAAAAAAAAAATTATGTCCTTTTCCATAACTGGGCCCATTAACTTGCATTCACCTTCCTTATGCTTAAATAATTGCTCTTTCCTGTATAATATACTGTACATTTGCTTGCATACATACATAAATTGTATCCATTAACTAATGGACAACTACGTTGGCTTCATTCGCTGCTCCATTGCGTAGAGAGCAGCAGTTTTGGGGTGGAGTTAACTCTATGGTAGGATATGGAGTTCTCTGGTGTATGAACATTAGTGAAACAGCTAGGTCATTTTGAAGGTCTATTTTAATTATTTTATGTGTATGGGTATATTGCCTGTATTTAAGTCTGTGCACTACATGTGTGTCTTGTGCTTATAGTGACCAAAAATGGACACAGGACCACCTGGAATTGGGGATAAAGAAGGTTGAAGGTCACTATGAATGCTGTGAATCAAAGCTGGGTCCTCCAGAAGAGCAGAC